CCGCCTTGGTCACCCTGCACTCCCGCGTCTGCGTCACATGTCCCAGCACGGTCTCGTCCTTGGTCTCCCCGGTTCGTTCCCCGAGTTTCCCTCCTCCCCCGCCCCCCCGTGCACGCCTTGTGTCGAGGGCCGGCTCCGCCGTGCCCCTCACTCCTCCTCTTTTCCCCCTACCACCGCACCACTGCAGACTCTGCACATGGACGTCTGGGGCCCAGCCCCGGTCCATGGGCCGCGTCGCGAGCGCTTCTTCCTAGTGCTTGTCGACGACTTCACGCGCTACACCACCGTCTTTCCCCTGGAGCGGAAGGCCGACGTGCCTGACGTTCTCATCCCCTGGCTTGTCTCTGCTCGTGTCCACCGCGGTCTCCCTGCCTTGGTCGCTTCTGTCGTGCAGAGGGCATCACCCAGACGTTTACCCTGCCGGACTCCCCGCAGCAGAATGGGGTCGCTGAGCGACGCATCGGTTTGGTCATGGAGGTGGCTCGCACCTCCATGATCCACGCCGGTGCACCCCATTTTCTGTGGCCGTTCGCCGTGCGCTACGCCGCTCACCAGCTTAACCTGTGGCCGCACCCCCAGCGGCCGCCGGTTTCGCCGACCCTTCTGTGGACCGGGTCCCCTGGTGACGCGTCTGCGTTCCACGTCTGGGGCTGCCTTGCTCACGTTCGTGCCTCTGGCACGGACAAGCTCACTGCCCGCACCCTCCCCTGCGTCTTCCTCGGTTTCCCCCTTGACGCGTCCGACTGGCACTTCTACCACCCGCCGTCTCACCGCTTCTTTCACTCTCGCGACGTCACCTTTGACGAGTCCGTCTCCTTCTACCGCCGCTTCCCCCACCGTGGTCCCCCGGTTACTCCCCCCCTGTTCCTGGTCCCTCCTTCCCCGGTGGTCCCTGCCCCCCCCCCCCCCCGCCCCCCCGTCCGGCCCCCTCTGGTGTGTCTCACGTCACCCCCCTCCCGTCGGTCGTCCCGGTCGACGAGTCTTCTGACTCTGGTAGTCCTCCGGCGCAGTCCTCGCCGTCTGTCCCTCCCCCGGTGTCTCCTCCTCCACCGCCTCCGCAGCCGCCGTCGCCGCAGCTGCTGCAGCCGTCGTCTCCCCCGCCGCCGCCGTTGCAGCCGTCGTCTCCGCCGCCACCGCCGTCGCGGCCGTCGCTGCAGCCGCCGCCGCCGCCGCCGCAGTCGTCGCTGCCGCTGTTTGTGGACTCTGGGGGTGCTGGCGTTGAGGTGGGTCCTAGTCCCGGGGCTCCTGTCGTGGCTTGTCCCGGCGGGCCTGGGGGTGGTACCGGTGCTGGCGGGGTTTCGTGCTCTGGGGGTGTCCCTTCTGGGGGTGCCGGTGTGGAGGGTTCGGGAGGTAGTAGTCGCGCAGCTTGTGGCCCTGGCGTTGGTGTTGTGTCGCCGCAGCAGCAGTCCCCGCCGGTGTCCGCCCTCCGTCTGCTCGGCCTTCCGTCCCCTGACCCTGCGCCTGTTCCTCACCTGCCGTCTCCTACTCTTCCCGTCTACGGCCCCGTGTTCCCTCCGCCGGACTCGTCCCCGGCTCGTTTTCCCCCTCGTTCCCCACCAGTGTCCCCTCCTCTGTCTCCTGACCCGACGCCTCCCTCTCACGTCTGGTCTCGCCGCCCCTCCCGTGCTCGTCCTGTCTCCCCCGTCCCGCGCTCTCACCCTATGTTGCTCCGGTCCCACGTGTCTCGTCCTCCCCTCCTCCCGTCTCCTCCTCCGTCCTCTCTTGTCGTTGCGTCTCCTCCTCTGTCTGACTACTTTCGTTCCGCTCGTCCTCTTGTTCCTCGGGTCCTTGCCTCTCTGGTTACAGACCCGTCTGTTCCAGTGTCGAGTCTTGACGCCCTTGTCACTGCGGTCGCTGACTTCGCCTCTACCCGCCGCCTTGACTACGCTACCACTCTGGTCTCCGACCCTGCCTGTCCTCCGTCTGTCGGGGGTGCTCCTGCCCTCGGCAGTGACGTCCTGGAGGACCGCCAGTTTGAGCTTGCTTTCCTGTCCGAGGCTGCTCCCCATCTCTGTTCCATGCTGCTAGTCCCTGAGGGTGACCCAGACGCTTTCGACATCCCGACCCCTCGTACTTACGCTGAGGCGGTTTCGGGACCCTGGGCCTCTCAGTGGATAGCTGCCATGGAACAGGAGATGGCATCTTGGAGATCCACCGGCACCTTCGTCGACGCAGTTCCCCCACCTGGGGTGAACGTGGTCGATGGCCGTTGGCTCTTCAAGGTGAAGCGCCCTCCTGGAGAGCCGCCTGTGTTCAAGGCGCGCTACGTGGCTAGAGGCTTCAGTCAGCGCGAGGGGGTGGACTTCTTTCAGACTTTCGCTCCTACGCCGAAGATGACTACTCTTCGGGTTCTGTTACACGTAGCGGCTCAGCGTGACTACGAGCTTCACTCCCTCGACTTCTCCACTGCCTTCCTTCAGGGCAGCCTTCACGAGCAAGTCTACCTGCGTCGTCCTCAGGGCTTTACTGGCACTTTCCCCCCTGGGACCCAGTGGCTTCTGCGGCGTCCAGTCTACGGCCTGCGCCAGGCGCCTCGTGAGTGGCACGACACGCTGCGTGCTACCCTTGCTGACCTGCAGTTCTTTCCGTCCTCTGCAGACCCCTCGCTCTTCGTTCGTGCTGGCCCGACTCCGTTCTACATCCTTGTCTACGTAGACGACCTGGTCTTTGCCACAGCTGACAGGGACGCACTGGCCTCCGTGAAGGCAGAGCTGCTGAAGAGACACACCTGCACTGACCTTGGAGAGCTGCGCCGTTACCTTGGCTTGCAGATCTCCAGGGACAGAGCCGCGCGCACCATCACCCTGACTCAGTCACACTTGGTGCGCCAGGTCCTTCAGAGGTTCGGCCTTCAGTTCTCCTCCGCACAGCCCACCCCTCTTCCTCTGGACCACAGACTCTCCGCTCCAGTTCCTGAGGAGTCGGTAGATCCCAGTGGTCCTTACGCTGAGCTAGTGGGTTGCCTCATGTACCTGATGACTTGCACTCGCCCAGATCTCGCATACCCTCTCAGCATCCTGGCTCGTTTCGTGGCCACAGGCAGACACCGACCTCAGCACTGGTCTGCCGCTAAGAGGGTTTTGCGTTATCTTGCAAGTACATCGGGCATGGGGTTAGTGCTAGGCGGACGCAGGCCAGTGGTCCTTACTGGACACACAGACGCTTCTTGGGCAGACGACGCCGAGACGCTCAGGTCTTCCCAGGGCTACTGCTTTAGCCTTGGCTCAGGTGCTGTCTCGTGGAGAGCTATCCGCTCCTCGTCTGTTGCCCAGTCCAGCTGTGAGGCTGAGATCTACGCTGGTGCCATGGCGGCACAGGAGCTCCGCTGGCTGACCTTCTTGCTCACTGACTTAGGTGAGCGGCCTAGCTCTGCCCCGGTCTTGTACGCTGACAACAGGGCCATGATCCTCCTGTGTCAGGAGCCTCGACTCGAGGGTAGAGCGAAGCACATCCAGCTGCGGTACTTCCTCCTGCGCGAGCTCCAGCAGCGTCGCCAGGCTCGCGTAGTACACTTGGCCTCCGGTGCCAACACAGCTGATATCTTTACGAAGGGACTTGCGCCTAAAGATCATCAGCGGCACTGTGTACAGCTTGGTCTGGTTCCTGTAGTCCCTCACTTACTCGGGCCTTGACTTTGTACTGTCCTATATATATGTGTACACTCAGACTGGACTTGTGTCCTCTCACAGTGGTTGGACTAGTAGTGCCGCCCTGTACTTGTTCTTGTCTTGTCTGTACTCCTTCTGACTGGTCTTTTAGACCCTTGTCTCAGAGGCTGGACTAGTAGTGCCGCCCTGAGCTGCTTGTTTAGGACATTCCCCTATGCAGTCCAGGGGGTGTGTCAAACATGTTTATTGATCATGTTTGTATAGACTGTATAGGGTAACCTCCTAGAGGGTACAACATTTTAGGTATATGTGCATGTACTCTCTAACTCTATGATCATTCAATTCTAGTTTTAGAGACTGTGCTCTGAAAACTCAGTACTGGGTTAGCGACAACTCTGATTTTCTCAGGATCCCTAGAATCGTACTCTGAAGGGATCAGGATTGGGAAAATGTCTTATCTGGAAATTCAGGTTTGGCCAAAAAACAGGTCTGAGATTTCAGACTAATCAGAGTAAATAGTCTGATAAAGTCAGCCCTGATCCAGCCTCTTCACAATGGTAGGCAGATCCGTTTAGACACTACGGCAGTTACACACGCGCTGCTGCAGCTCCACACGCGCTGCTGCAGCTCCAAACGCATTGCTGCAGCTCCAAACGCGCTGCTGTAGCTCCACATGCGCTGCTGCAGCTCCAAACACGCTGCTGCATATGTGCAAGTCAGCCATTTCCACTGCGACATTTGACATCCACGCTTGTGCTTGATCTCCTCCTCATCCCTTCGCATGTGGTGCGTGCAGGTTAAGCAAACAGATAATGCATGGACTTTACCCTTTGTATCCCATACTAGCATTCTCCTTTAGGGAACAACACCCACCATCAAGACAACTCATAACGTAACTTCATATAACCGTGAGTTAATATTTTCAACAATGTACACCCTAGGGTGCCTTCTGCGGGGAATTGAGGTATGAAGTTGGGACTAAATATAGGGAAAAGATGAAGTGAGGTTGAGATGTAGTGCTGTCTTAGTGAAATTTACTCGACCTATGCACCGTAAAGTAGTACAGAGATTATGCGAAGGAAACCCCGGATAGCCGTTGTTGCGATTTCGGGCGGACTTGAAATTTGATCAATGTATTTTGGCGGGAACGGCAACATCAAGGCGATTCGAGATTACCATAAAATCCTTCCCCCTTGGTCTGGACTGGACTCTGGTCATCAATCTCTCCCCTGATCTTTCCTCTCATCTTTCCCCCTCTACTTTTCCCCCCTCTACTTTTCCCCCCTCTACTTTTCCCTCGTCGCATTTCCTTCGACTCAGCAGCTGAGCCGTCCTCCTCCAGGGCACCTCGTCAACACTTGGGGTCAAAGTCGGCTTTCTTCTCTTAGAACTCATTCTGCTCTGAAAAAAGGAAAACGCGTTTCCGTCCTTTACACGACGTTATCTCCCTGCCTAGCTACTTTGTTTCTTTCTCCAGATTCTTTAGAGAATGGCGAATAAGGCGTATTTGTCGCGTAGATGAAAGTCAGATCGTCGCTTTCCGGTCGGGTTACATTCCCTCGCGTTACGCAGTCCTTCAAGATGTTTCGCTGACGCGACACCGCAGACGCGGCAGCGAAGACGCAACCGTATTCGGTTTGGTCTTATTATCTAACGTATTGAGAGTCTTACCAGCACCGACAATTAGGTTTTAAATATCTTGTATCAATAGCGCGCAATGGCGATCACTACAACTCCAGCAACGCCCGAGCGATTCGGGTGGTCGGGACCCAAATCCGCGAGCTCGTCTCCCGCAGGACCGGCTAGCCGGCCGCTCCCCGGAGAGGATCCTCCCCCGTCGTCCAAACTCCCGGAACGCCATCCGTCGCCAATGCGTTTGCCGTCTCCTAGACGGTTTCCGTCACCTAGACGGCAGCCGGCATCTCCGACGCTGCTTGATAGAGGAGCGAGCCGGTCGCTGAAGTTCGCACCGGCGGGAACGGCGCTCGTGAAGGAAAGCCCGGATAAGGAACCGAGGGAAGGTTCGGCGAAGAATGCGGGAGGGGATAATCCAGGGGATAGGGAAAACGTTCGACGTCTAACAGGAACGGCTCCCTCTATAGAACCGGCTCCTGTGGCAGCTCCCGCTACAGTCACCTCTTCTCATGTCCTGAAATCTTCTACCAGTATTCCATCTCCTGCTCTGAAGCCATCTAGTGGCATCCCGTCTCCTGTCCTAAAGCCCATCATGGCGCCATCGTCCCCTCGCAGTAGCTTAAAGTCTTTATCCCCATCCGCCTCAACTGTTATGGCGGCAGCTGCGGAATCTGAAACTGGTTCGGCTGGTCAAGCGTTGAGAGCAGTAACCGCTTCGTTTGTTCCAGCGTTCAGTGCGAAGTTCGCAGATGGAGCAACCGCAGCGGGGAAGTTCGCAGATGGAGCAACCGCAGCGGGGAAGTTCGCAGACGGAGCAGCCGCAGCGGCGAAGTTCGCAGATGGAGCAGCCGCGGTGGCGAAGTTCGCAGATGGAGCAGCCGCGGTGGCGGCACCACGAGCGGCGAAGAAGATCTCCCTAACGCCCGCGTTTCCCACCCACCCGGACAGAAGGCGGAGCTCCACACCCACGTTCGCGCGCACTGAGACGTCTCAAACCTCGTCCGCGCGTCCGGAGCGGAAGTGGAGTCCCGCACCCGCGCTCTCGCGTCCGGAGCGGAAAGAGAGTCCTGCACCCACGCTCTCGCGTCCGGAGCGGAAAGAGAGTCCCGCACCCGCGCTCTCGCGTCCAGAGCGGAAAGAGAGTCCCGCGCCCGCGCTCTCGCGTCCAGAGCGGAAAGAGAGTCCCGCCCCCGCGCTCTCGCGCCTGGAGCGGAAAGATAGTCTCACTGGGGCACCCGTGCACGCAGTCTCGGATCGGAATCAGAAGCAGAGCCCGGGCCCGGCAGCACCATCCATCACGTCACGTCCTGAGCGGAACGACCCTCCTTCGCTCGAGCTATCGCGAAGCGAGAAGACGGAGAGGGCGCAGAGGGTGGAGAGAGCGGAGAGGGCGGAGAGGGCGGAGAGAGCGGAGAGGGCGGAGAGGGCGGCGCTGAATTGGCCGACCCGCAGCCACGGCACGAGAGTCGCAGCTGCGGAGCAGAGTGCAGCAACGCGAGTCAGCGCCCGTGGGGCTAGCGGAAGCGGTGACAATAGCGCTGGAAGTGGGAGCACCGAAAACGGTGGCAACAGCCGTTGTGGCGGGCGAAGCGGAAACGGTGGCAGCAGTGGCGGTAGTGGGGGCAGTGGAAACGGTGAAAAGGCTAATGGAACGACGCGTTTCCAAGGAGAAGAGGCGAAGAGAGGCGATAAGGGAGTGGGAGAGGGTCAGGGGAACGGGACGGTAACAGCCGTGAAAGACGAGGAGAAATTGAGTGGAGGAGATGGGTGGAAGAAGGAAGGAGGCTGGGAAGGCGGGATACTTCTTGCAGAAGAAGCAGGGAGAAAAGCCGGACTTGCAGGCATGGCTGCGAGACGGTATTCCTCAGGGGAGCTGGGAGGTAGGCTTGAAAAGGTGACTGTAACGGAGGGGTCCAAAGGGAGGACCGCTGTTGGCGGGACAGGTTCGTTAAGGTCACCAGTGGGAGAAGCAGTAGCGGGGGGAAAAGAAGCGGCAGGAAAGACGGTGGCTGGAAACGAAGCGGAAGCAGAAGCGTCAGTGTCAGTACCATCTCCCCGTGCGAGCCTAACAGTAACGACAGGGACACAAAGATATGGGGCAGCACCAGCAGGATCAGCAGCAGGCCTGGCAGCAGCGTCGGGGTTTACAGCACCAGTACCATCTCCTGCTGTAGCAGCAGGAAAGGGAGAAGCTACCACCAAACAGCTGACAAGCGAAGGAGCCAAACCGATGGCAGCAGCTGTCGATGAAGCAACAACGACAGATATGACAGCAGCAGCACCAACAGTCTCAGCAGCAGCAGACTCAGCGGCAAAGGCAACGGCTTCAAGCAGAGGGACAGCAGCAGCGATGGGGTCCGCCACAACGGGAGGGGCAGCAGCAGCAGCGGTGGGTTCGGCAGTGACAGCAACAGCGGTCGGGTTGGCAGCAGCAGTGGTGGGTTCAGGCACAAGTGGAGGGACAGCAACAGCGGTAGGGTCGGTAGCGGCAGTGGGGTCCACCGCCACAACTGGAGGAACGGCAGCGGTGGGGTCGGCAGCAGCAGCGGGGTCAGGCACAAGTGGAGAGACAGCAGCAGCAGCGGTGGGGCCCGCAATGAAGGTGGCAGCGGTGGAGTCGGCAGCAGCAGTAGTGGGTTCCGCCGCAACTGGAGGGGCAGCAGCAGCGGCAGGGTCGGCAGCAGCAGTGGGGTCTGCCACAGCAGGAGGGACAGCAGCAGCGGCAGGGTCGGCAGTGACGGTGGCAGTGAACGTGCGGCCCATGGTGCCCCATGAGACAGCTGCCAGATGCGTGGACTGCGTCAAGGTGCTGCCTGGAGGCAGGCCAGAGGTGAGGGATCGAATCTTGCTGAGCGCGTTTGGTCCTCTCCCTGCCCTCGTCACCTGCTCTCTCCCTGCTGTTACTCTCCCATGCCTCCCTGCTTTCTTTCCCACTCGTTCTCATGCGTCCCCTTTCCTATGCCATGTTCTCATGCGTCCCCCTCCCCACTCTCCCCCCTCTCTCCAGGTGCATGTGTCGCCTGACAGGGTGTTCAAATGCGACGAAATGCACGGGGGGGCACGTGCACACATGTCTCAATCCCTTCCTCTCTCCTTCCGCCCTCCATCCTCCACCCTCTTCCCCACTCTCATCTCTACTCCTTTCACCCCTTCCCCCTCCAGGTCCATGTGTCGCCACACTGTGTGCTCACATGCGATTCTGTACAGCGGGGCAGGTCCACACATGTTTAAATTCCTTCCTCACCCCCCCCGCCCTCCTCTCCTGCTCTCTACTCTACTCTCTCACCGTCTCTCTTCCCTTACCAGGTGCATGTGTCGCCAGACTGGGTGTTCACGTACGACCATGCGTACGGCGGGGGCGGCCAGCACATGACAATCCCTTCCTCACCTCCCCCCCTCTTTACTCTCTTCTCTCTGCCCTCCTCTCATCCCTCCCCCCTCCAGGTGCATGTGTCCCCAGACTGGGTGTTCACATACGACTATGTATATGGCGGGGGAGGCCCGCACATGTCGCTGCTCTTTGCTGACTGCATCATGCCCCTTGTGCACGGGCTGTTCGACGGGTACAACGCTACAGTGTTCGCTTACGGCCAGGTGAGCAAGTGCCAGATGGGTATGATGCATCGGTACTGCTCATAGTCAGGCGAGTGTGTGTGCCAGCGACCTAACCTTGGGGCAGGCCCGCACATGCCTCTGCTTCTCAGCGATTGCTTCATGCCCCTTGTGCACGGGCTGTTCGATGGCTACAGCTACAGCGCTACAGTGTTCGCTTACCTGTCCCCCATTCCATTGATTTTTGCCCCCAATTTGGAATTGCTACAGACTGGGTCGGGCAAGACCTACACCATGGGAACTGCACTTCAGAGCATGGCTGCTGCTGCTGTTGCTGCTGAGACCGGTAACAATGGGGTTACCATCAGCAGAGGTGTGGCAAATATTGGCACGGAAGGTAGTCTGATCAGCAGCGACAGTAGCACTGGCAGCAGCACTGGCAGCCCCAGTAAAGCCGGTGGCAGCAGAGGCAGCGGGAGTGGGAGGAGCAATGTGGTGGGGGCGGTGAGCCCAGAATCAGTGGAGAAGGAAGGGGGGGTGGCCAGGCGGGTGGTCAACTCCCTCTTTCAACGCATGGAGGATCTCTCCCACTCGGCGCGCTTCCAGATCCGCGTATCCCTCATAGAGGTGAGTTGGTCAGTGGGCGTTCTTGTATCCATCTTCCGGCGGGAAGGAAGGGTGGGTGGCCAGGCGGGTGGTCAACTCCCTCTTTCAACGCATGGAGGATCTCTCACACTCGGCGCGCTTTCAGATCCGCGTATCCCTCATAGAGGTGAGTTGGTCAGTGGGCGTTCTTGTATCCGTCTACCAGGGGTGAAGGAAAGGGGGCTGGCCAGGCGGGTGATCTACTCCCTCTTTCCCACTCGTCGCGATTCCAGATCCGCACAGAGGGCAGAGAGAAACAACACCTTGGAACTTAGAGTGCTTGGTGACTTTTGGGCTTGGTGACTTTTGGGCCGACACTTAAGGCACGTCGTCGCACCCTCCCTGATCCAATTCTCCCCCATCCGATTCCCCCCCTCTCCCACGTGCCGTACGTGTGTGCTTCAGATCCACAAGGACGACATCCACGACCTCCTCGAGTTCCTCGCCACCCCGTTCCCCTCCTCCGCCTCTGCCTCCCCCTCCACCGTAGCTGCCCTTGCTGCTGTCGCCGCTGCAGCCCGAGCCTCCCCCTCAGGCTCGGCGCCCCTAGGCTCAGCGCCGCCGCCTCGACAGACAGTGGCAATCCGGGAGTTACCAGGCGGCGTGTCCCTCACGGGTGTTACAGAGCAGGTGGTTACCACACGGGACGAGGCCATAGCCTGCTTGGAGCATGGGCTGTTGTTCCGGGCAACTGGGAGTCACAACCTCAACCAGCGGTCCAGGTGGGTGCATGCAAGGGTGAAGGGGTTGGTGCACACAGATGGGATGGGGTGGGGGTTACCACATGGCACGAGGATTATAGCCTGCTTGGAGCACGGGCTGCTGTTCTGGGCGGCAGGCAGTCACAACCTCAACCAGCGGTCCAGGTGTGTGTGTGTGTCGAAGCAGGTGAGTGTGTATAAATGCAGATGGTGGGTGCACACAGCAGGTGTAATCCTATGGTCGTCGAAGCACATCGGTTACCACGAGGAACGAGGCCATAGCATGCTTGGAGCACGGGTTGTTGTTCCAGGCGACAGGCAGCCACAACCTCAATCAACACTCCGGTGGGTGCATGCAGGGGTGAAGGGGTTGGTCTACACAGATGGGATGGGTGGGGGGTTTCACATGGGAGGGACGATGATTCTGATCATTGCATGCTTGGAGCACAGGCTCTTTCCCTGGGCAACTCCTACTGGATTCCTACATAGCTCTCTCCCGTGCATCACACTGTTCACTCTCTTGATTTTATTTCCTTTCCCATCTCTCCCACACTCCCCCCCACCCCTCCACTACTCCCCTCCCCCGTACCCACCTTCCCCAGTCGTTCCCACGCTATCTTCACAATTTTCGTGGATCAGTTCAGGCAAAGGGCAGCCGGCTCCCTGGACTCCACTTCTCGTCTTTCCACCCGCACCGCCACTTACTTAAGCACCAGCTCCAGCAGCAGCAGTGGCAGCGGCAGAGCTTCGCTTGAAAGCGGAGGCGGAATGGCCAGAGCTGATGAGATGGGGCTGCCCGGGCAGGACGAAAATGTTTTATTCGGGGCTGGACGGATGGATGAGGAGCATCTGTGTGCGAAGATGCATCTGGTGGATCTGGCGGGTAGTGAACGAATCAAGCGCACCAAGGCCGAGGGCGCACGGCTGAAGGAAGGTGAGGCTCAACCAGACACACTCTCTCTCTCTCTTATCTGCTCTCACCTGCCTCCCTCCTCTCACCTGCCTTCCTCCTCTCGCCTGCCTCCCTCCTCTCAACTCCCTCTCGTCTCTAACCAACCCCTCCCCCCCCCACACACACTTCCCACTCCCCACCTTTCTTCCCGCCCCTTCTCCCACCACTCTTCCCTCTCCCACCTCTCTCCCCTCTCCCACCACTCTCCCCTCTCCCACCTCTCTTCCCTCTCCCACCTCTCTCCCCTCTCCCACCACTCTCCCCTCTCCCACCTCTCTCCCCTCTCCCACCACTCTCCCCTCTCCCACCCCTCTCCCCTCTCCCACCTCCCTCCCCCCATCCCAGGCATTCACATCAACAGGGGTCTCCTCGCCCTGGGAAACGTGATCAGTGCACTGAGCAGCGATGGGAAGAGGAGGAAGGATGCAACGTTGGCTTCAGGAGGGGGGGGCGGTGGAGGAGTGGGGCTGGCAGCAGCGTTGATTCCTGTGCACGTGCCGTATCGAGACAGCAAGCTGACGCGGCTGCTGCAGGTGTGTTTGTGGTTAGTGAGTGCGTTCCCTGGGATTGTATCCGTCACTTGGTGGGGGTGGGGCTGGCAGCAGCATTGATTCCTGTGCACGAGCCGTATCGGGACAGCAAGCTGACGCGGCTGCTACAGGTATGTGTGAGCTGATGAGTAGGGCTGACGCACAGATGTGTCACCGTACAGGGCGCACCTTCACGAGATGTATGCATCTGAGAGCTCGTATCCCTGAGCACATGTTATCTGTATATTCCCTGATGTTTGAATAGTAGGCCGTTTCCTGCAATAAATGCCCTCAACCCTGAGCTCCTCATCTAATAATCCGCTTCTCTTTCTCGTCTTGTCGTTGTGTGTGCCTTCAGGATTCCCTGGGCGGCAACAGTCGCACAGTCATGATTGGTGAGTGCAGGATGATGCCATATTTGGCAGTACGTGTGGCATGGCGCATGATGCCATATTTGGCAGTAAGTGTGGCATGGCGCATGATGCGTGGAACTTGGTTTAACTCAACTTCCATGGGATTAAGCAGAGGTGGATAGGAAATCGAGACTCGTTTGCAGTCCAATTTTGGAGCGGAGTGTGACTTATTGGCAGTCCTATTCCCGAGGAGGCCGCACGTTTTGTCGTTTCAGATTTTGCAGGGTGTTTTTGAGAATTCTCAAAAGCACGTTTTGTCGTTTTAGATGCGGTTCCTTGCTCCACCTGGCGGCCTCAGCCGGACAGTTGCCTTCTCCTTCTCCACCCACCTACTGGGTTGTATTTCGAGGCCCTTACTACAAAACCGCAGAGCAGGTGCGCGACATCTGCTACCGACCCATGTGCACCGGCTTGGGCATCCCCTACCCTCTGTCCCCCCTTCCTCAGTAGGTTCTCTCCCCTTTCCTCTATACCTGTACAGCTTGTGTGAGTCCCACAGATACGAATGTCGAAGAAACCTTGAACACGCTTCGCTATGCCAACTGGGCGCGCAACATATGTAACCGGCCCACCATGAACCGGCTGGGCACTGCTAACCTTCCTCTCCCCTCCTTCTGCTTGCCGTGTTCCCCCTTCCTTGCCCCTTTCCTCTATACCCGTACAGCTTGTGTGAATCCCACAGACACGAACGTCGAAGAGAGTCTGGACACGCTAAGATACGCCAACCGGGTGCACAACAACTGCAACCGGCCCACCGTGAACCGGCTGGGCGAACTGACACCCCCCGCCCCTCCTTTCCCTATGTCTCCCCGTCTCTCTCGTCAGCCTGTGTGAGCCCCACAGACACCAACGTGGAGGAGAGCCTCAACACGCTAAGATACGCCAACCGGGCACGCAACATCTGCAACCGGCCCACCGTGAACCGGCTGGGCACAGTGGATGCAGAGGAGGTGCGGCGGCTGCGACAGCACGTGTCGTTCCTCCAAGCAGAGCTGGCCAAGATTCCGCCCCCGCTGCCCATCACGGGGGAAGAGCTGCAGGTGGGTGCCTGGGATGGTAGATGCAGTGAGGTGAAAGACGTCTATGAGTGAACCACCGGATTGGCACAGTGGATGCAGAGGAGGTGCGGCGGCTGCTGCAGCAGCACGTGTCGTTCCTTCAAGCAGAGCTGGCCAAGATTCCGCCCCCGCTGGCCATCACGGGAGAAGAACTGCAGGTGAGCTACCAACGTGTGAGGTGTGTATGTGCTATACAGGCGAACCACCGCCTGGGGATGGTGGATGCAGAGGAGGTGCGGCGGCTGCGGCAGCACGTGTCGTTTCTTCAAGCAGAGCTGGCCAAGATTCCGCCCCCGCTGCCCATCACAGGGGAAGAGCTGCAGGTGGGTGCTGGGAAGCTAGCAGTGAGACGAATGAAGAGGTGTGTGTAGATGGTGAACTGGCTTGGCACAGTGGATGCAGAGGAGGTGCGGCGGCTGAGCCAGCACGTGTCCCTGCTGCAGGCAGAGCTGGCCAGAGTGCCGCCCCCGCTGCCCATCGCAGGGGACGCACGTGAGCTGCAGATGAGTTGCTGCTTCGGGAGCTTTGACACGCCTCGGAATGCATCCCTTCCTTTTCCCCTAACCCCCCTTCGCTGCTCCAAGGCGATGGAGCAGACTCTGGCATCTCTTGAGAGGAGACGCCAACTCACCCACCCCACCCCCCCAACCCCCCCTCTCCACCCAACCGCTCACTATTCCCCGTTGCCTGCCTTCCCCTCTCCATCGGTGCCAGGCGATAGAGCAGACCCTGGCGTCTCTCGAGGCGGCCAACTCACAGTATCAGATCAGGGGTCTTCCCCCCCACAACCCCCCACAACCGCCCCCCCTCCCCCCGTTTCCTGCTGTCTTTCTTTCTGCCCCCAGGCGCTACAGCTGACTCTGGTGTCCCTTTAGGAAGCCAACAATTTTCTAGGCGCCTAAAAAATTGCGTCCTTGCTTCTCCCCTCCCCCTGATTTCTCCTCCATATTCTTTCCAGGCGCTACAAGAGACTCTGGTGTCCCTTGAGGAAGCCAACTGCCAGTTAAAGCTTTCCCTAGAAAGCACACACCGAGAACTGGAGGTAACTCAGCAGAGCCTAGAAGCTACAAGGCAGGGGCTAGAAGCAGCAGAGGCCAGCTTGGGAACTGAGACCCAACGGGCAGCTGACAGCGAGGCGGCGTGCTCGGCGCTGCGTGCTGACCTGGACAGCGCCATGTCAGAGATCGAGCGGCTGCACGCTGAGCTGGCGGCGGCGAAGGAGGAGTCAGCAGCAGCGAGGGAGAAGCTAGATGGAATGATGAGGAAGTCCCACGAGAAAGCCGGTAGGGGTGCTGCTGGTGCTGCTGCTGGTGGTGGTGGTGGTGCTGGTGCTGGTAGTACTGGCAGCAGTGCTAGGAGGTTGTCGGGAGGTGGGGGGGGAACGGCGGCGTTTGGGTCTGCTAGGAATGGTGATGAGGTGAAGCGAGTGAGGCGAGAGGCGGATAGGGCGGTGGCAGAGGCGACCAAGAGGTCGGAGAGGGAAAGCAAGAGGGCCGAAGATGCTGTTGCACGGGTTAAGAAGGCTTTGGATAGAGCAACAGAGGCTGAGAAACGAGCACCTGAGGCTGAGAGACGGGCAGCAGAAGCAGAGAGACGGGCAGTTGAAGCAGAGAAGAAAGCAGCGGGGGCAGAGAGACGGGCAGCTGAAGGGGAGGAGAAAGCAGAGAGGGAGAGAAGGCGGGCAGATGCTAGTGCTGAGCGAACTGGGTCTATTGAGGCTCGGGCGGCCAAGGCTGAGGCAGAGGTTCGGGCCCTCCGTTCGGAGCTAGCCTCGGCGGCTGCTGAAGCGATGGCGGCCACTGTCGCTCGGCAAGCCTCGGAGCAGGAGGAGGTGAGACTGGTTCGGATGCGACTTGCCGAGGCTGAGCAGGAGGTTCGGGCGACTATTGCTGCGATGGAGAAGAGGTTCGGGGATGAGAGATCGGAGTGGGAGAGGCGGCTTGATGCAGAGAGGAAGCAGTGGGAGGAGGAAAAGAGGGCGTGGGAGGAGGAAGAGAAGGTGTGGGAGAGACGAGTAGCACACGAACGGGAGACATGGGAGAGGGATTTCGCAGCAGAACTGGAAACACGGGAGAGGAAATGGGCAGCGGAGCGGGAGATGTGGGAGAGAAAACAGAGGGAGGAAGGGGAGGCATGGGAGAAGAAACTCACCGCAGCAGAGGAGAAGGCTGCAGGGGTAGCAGAGAGAATCAGGGTGGAGGTTCAACGGGCAGAGGAGCAGGCTGTTGCTGGGGTGCTGCAGGAGAAGAGACTTGTGGAAGAGAGGGCTACTGCTGCTGAGAGGGCTTTGGCAGGGGAGAAGGCGATGATAGAAAGGAGAATGGCGGATTTGAGAGCAGAGGTGCGGAAAGCAGTTAAGGAGGAAGAGGCTGAGTGGCTGGCCATGGTTACTGCTGAAGCTGAACGGTTGAGTGAGGAGTGCAATGAGTTGAGGAGAGAGTGTGGGGAGTTGAGGAGAGAGTGTGAGGGGTTGAGGGAGCGGGAGAGAGAGGAGAGGGAGAGGAGGGAGAGGGTGGAGGAGAGGGCTGTGAGAGCCGAGGCTGCTGCTGCCGAAGCTGAGGCTCGGGTGGCTCGGGAAGTGGAGAGCGTGCAAGATCAGGCTCGGAAAGAGGCTCGGGAAGAGGCAGAGAAAATGGAGAGTGAATTGGCAGAGGTTTGGGCGCAAGCAGAGGCAGAAGCAAGGAAGGCAGAAGATGCGACAGAGAGGGTAAAGGAAGCAGAGGAGCAGGTGATTATATTGAAGGTTAAGATCGAGGGGTTAAGGGAGGAGTTGAACGAGCTCGAAGCTGCTCTGGAGGAGGAGGAACGGAAGGCGGACGAAGCAGAGAAGCTGCTGGCTCGGGCCCGAGCCAAGCTCGCCGAGGTGGAGTCTCGGGCCGAAGCTGCAGAGGGGCGGGTGGAGGAGCTTGAGGGGGAAGTGGAGAGAGCGAGAGAGGCGGAGGAGGCGGTGAGGACGGAGTGTGAGGTGTTGAGAGAGTGTGTGCGGGCGGCAGGGGAGAGAGTGGGGGAGTTGGCGGAGAGAGTGAGGAGGGGTGAGGGTGCCGCAGAGGAAGCTGAGGAGAGGGTGCGGGGAGCGAAGGACGAGGAGAGGAGGGCGGAGAGGAAAGCGAGTGAGGCTTTGGCTGTAGTGGAGGAAGCAGAGGGGAGGGCTCGTGCTGCTGTGAGGGGGAGGGAGGAGGCGGAGAGGAGAGCAGAGGAGGCGAGGGGGAGGGCGGAGGAGGCTGAGAGGAAGGCCGCTGCTGCTTCGGCTGCGCTTGTAGAGGCGGAGGCACGGGTGAGGGAGATGGGGAGGAGGGGGGAGGAGAGGGGGGAGCGTGAGGAGGAGAGTGAGGTGGGCGAGAAGAACGAAGTGAGGGGATTGCGAGGAGAAGGGGAGGTGGAGGAGGTGGTGGTGGGGTTGGTGTGTGCAATGCTGGATGGCGCGATGATAAGGGCGACTCAAGCACAGGAGAGGGAGCTCGTGCGGCAGGAGAAGGAGAAGGAGGAGGAGCAGGTATGGCAGGAGAGGCACGACCTTGAGAGGCACAGTCTTGTGTGGGAGGAAAAGAGCTGCCTTGATTTGGAGGAGAAGGAGCGATCTGGGGGAGAAAGGCAGCCAGGGGAGGCTTTCTCGGGGGAGGCTCGTTTGGGGGAGGCTTGTCTGGGGGCGGGTGAACTGCAGATAGGGGATGAGCGGAGGAGAGGGGAGGAGGAGATTGAGGACGTGGTGGTGGGTTTGGTGGGACAGATACTGGATGGCAAGATGATGCTGCTGCAGGCTCAGGATCAGGCTCGGGAGCAGGCTTGGGAACAGGCTCGGGAACAGGCTTGGGAACAGGTTTGGGAACAGGCTTTGGGGCAGGCTAGGAAGCAGGCTCGGGATGAGTCGCAGCTGCAGGTTCGCCAGGCAGAGGAGAGGGCAACCGAGGCAAAGGAGCAGGTTCGGGGATTGGAGCAGCAGCTGGTAAGGGCAGAGGAGCAGGTTCGACAGGCTGGGGAGGAGATTGCGGGGCTCAGGGCTGAGCTGGCGGAGAAGGTTGTTGAGCTGGCAGGTAAGGTTGCTGAGCTGGCAAAGGTGGTGGAGGAGAATGAGAGGGGGAGGGGGGAAGTGGAGGCAATGAGGCAAGCGATCGAGGATCTGAGAGGTAAGCTGAGAGTGAGAGAGGAGGAGAAGGGGCAGGTGGAGGAGCATGTGGAATGGCTTATGAAAGAGCTGGGGGAAGAGATGGGGGAGAGGGAGAAGGAGAAGGAGAGGTGGGCGGGGGAAGTGAATGTGTTAGGGAGGGAGGTTGAGGGTTTGAGAATGAGGGTGAGGGATGGGGAGCAGGAGAAGAGGCGACTGGAGGAGCATGTTGAGTGGCTGATGAAGGAATTGGCTGAAGAGATGGGTGAGAAGGAGAAGGAGAAGGAGAGGGGGTTAGGCGTGGTGAATGCGTTAAAGGAGGAGGTAGAGGGATTGAGAGGGAAGTTGAGGGAAGGGGAGGAGCATGTGGAGTGGCTGATGAAAGAATTGGCTGAAGAGATGGGTGGGAAGGAGGGCGGGACAGGGGAAGTGAATGCGGCTAAGGAGGAGGTCGAGGGCCTGGGAGGGAAGTTGAGGGAAGGTGAGGAGGAGAAGAGAAGACTGGAGGAGCATGTGCAGTGGCTGATGAAGGACATGGCTGACGAGATGGGGGAGAGGGAGAGGGAGAGGGAGAGGGAGAGGGAGAAGGGGACAGGGGAAGTGAATGCTCTAAGGGGAGAGGTAGAAAGATTGGGAGGGAGGTTGAGGGAAGGGGAGGAAGAGAGGAGGCAGGTGGAGGAGCATGTGGAGTGGCTCGTGAAGGAAATGGCTGAAGAGATGGGGGAGAGGGGGACGGGGAAACTGGAGGAAATGAGGGGGGAGATCAACAACCTGCGGGGGAGGTTGAGGGATGGGGAGGAGGAGAAGAGGCAGGTGGAGGAGCATGTGGAATGGCTTATGAGGGAATTAGCAGAGGTGGTGGGTGAAAAGGAGAGGGGCGAGAGGGAGCGGAGGGAGCTGAGGGAGAGAGAGGAAGAGGGGGAAAATGTGGAGGAGAAGAGAGGCGGGGAGGTGGAGAGGCAGAGAGGGTGGTTTGAGGCGGTTGAGGGCGAGAGAGCAGGCTCACAGAAGGCAGTATCAGTAGCACAGGCAGAAACAGAGGAAAATAAAGGAGCAGCAGCAGAAGCAGAGGCTGAAACAGAGGCAGAGAGAGAGGAAGATAGGGCAGCAGGAGCAGGAATAGAAGAAGACGGCATAGCCGAAGCAGAAAACGGGGGAGAAGCAGACTCAGGAGGAATAGGGGCAACAGGAGGAGCATCATGGGGATGGGACGAGATAGCTCCATCCTCGCCGTCTAAGGGCGTTGCAACTCCGGAAGATAGAGATAACGAGAAAGAGGGCTCTCCTTTCGTCACCCCCACCTCCTCCCCCCCTGCCTCGCCCCCCACTCTCTTCCCCCGCCTGATTCCCTCCGCTGGCTGCTCCGAGCACGACGGTGGTATTGCGGCCTTGCCTATGTCTGCCAGTGGCAGTAGCAATGGCGCCACCTCGGCCTTGCTTCTGCCTGTAATAGCCGACGGTGATGGGGGGACCTGTGCTGTGCCTTTGCCTGCAGAGAAACAACCCTGGAATCCGTTCCTCAGCGCCCCAACTGACGTGCTGGTGGGCGCTTGTGAGGTGAAACCACCTGTTGTGCTGGAGGTGTGCGAGATGAGCTCGGCTAATGCGGTGGCAACGCCGGAGAGGGAGTCAGTAAACGCCGTGGAGGTGTGTGCGGAGGGACCAGCAGGGGCGGCCTTCCCCCCATATAATCCGTTCCTGGTCTTGCCTGAGGCGGCTTTTGAGGACGCCCTGATTGCTGGCAGTGTTAGCATCACCAGCATCACTGGGAGCAGCGCTGTCAGGATTGCTGAAAGTAAGGCCATGCCAGAGGCGCCCTTCGAACAATCCCTTACTGCTGGCAATGCTGGCAATGCTGGCAACGCTGGCAACGCCAGTATCACTGGGAGTGGCACCGATTCTTCCCCTCCTGTCAGCAGCAACCCATTCTTGCGCCCCTGGCTGAACCTTGATGGGGAGGAGAGCGGTGGGGAGGAGGAGGGGGAAGGAGAAGAGAAGAAGGGGGATAGTCGAACCGGTGTTACACGTGGTACCGTCACTGTCACTAGTGTTACCTCTGCTGCCGATGCCAGCAGCAGCAGCACTATCATCAGCAGCACCACTTGTGTTGGTGCCACTACCACATGCACTGGCACAGGCAATTCCTCTTGTCTGGCTAGTCCCAGCAATTACACTTGTACTAGCAGCAGTTGTGCTAGCATCAGTGCTGCTGGCACCACTGCTGGCACCACTGCTGGCACCACTGCTGGTATGACTGCTGCTGGTACCACTGCTGGTAGCACTGCTGGTACCACAGCTGGCACCACAGCTGGCACCACGGCTGGTACCAAGGCGGGCTTCATGCGTCTCCCTGGCTCCCCTTGCCTATCCTCTCGCGGCCCCCCTGCCACCGCTGCTCGTTCCATTCTAGGCAACACCAAGCCCCTACATCTCACCCTCTCACCCCTCCATCCCACCCACTCACCCCACCCTCTCACCCACTCACTGCCTGGATCTGAGGCGTCTCATCATGTCTCCAACATCCCTCCCCTGCATCCTTACCCCTCCTCTTCGGCTGCTGACCCCCCAAGTGCTGCAGCCATAGCTGCTGCTGCTTGGGCGCCACGCCAAGGAGCGTTTTCTGAGGGGCAGGGAGAACCCGCAGCGGCAGGGGGAGCAGCAGCTGAGGTGGTGCCTCCAGCTTCGGTTGTTTCAGCTGCCAAGGTTGCTGGCCTTGGCAGTGTGCTGGTAGCAGTGGGAGGGCAGGGTGGTGTGGGTGGTGTGGGTGGAGGGGGTAAGCACTTACGTGAGGCTTGCTCTGCAGAAACGACTGCAACCGGCCTGAGCAACAGCCGCCACGCTCGGCGACATGTGGGGCTGGAAAATAAGCGAGATGCTTATGTAAGCGAGGAGATAGTGGAAGTGTTTGAGTTGGTAGAGGGAGAGAAGGAGGGGGCAGAAGAGGAGGTGGAAGAGGAGGAAGAGGAGGAAGAGGAGGAAGAGGAGGAAGAGGAGGAAGAGGAGGAAGAGGGGGAAGAGGAGGAAGAGGAGGAAGAGGAGGAAGAGGAGGAAGAGGAGGAAGAGGAGGAAGTGGAGGAAGTGGAGGAGGAAGAGGAGGAGTGGGGAACAGAGGGTCGGGCTACCGATGAGGGGGGTGACTTTGAGGGCGATGCGTTTAAGAGCTCTTCAGTGGCCAACACCAGCGGTAACAATTCCAACGCGAGCACTACCACTCCCAACAACAGCAGCGGCAGCAGCAGCACCAGCCGAGGCAGGATGCCCCCTGGCGCAGTGGCGTCCGCAGCAGCCATGCTGAGCCGACTGCGAGGCTCAGTCAAGTTGGGGCAGAGCACCAGACGCAGACAAATCTTGCCGTCCAAACACAAGGCACGGGGAGGAGCAGGGCAGGGAGAGCAGCACGGAGAAGGCGAGGGTAAGATGTGCCCTTCTCTCCCAGCAGGGAGCAGCAGTGGGGATGGCAGTGGTGGATCAGGGGGCTTTGGGATGGGAGATCAGGGCACATGGCACGTTGAAACAGGCTATGTCGATGGTGATGCAGGTGGGGTGGGCAGCAGCAGGGAGGGGGGGAGCAGCCGAGGGGAGAGCAGCAGTCAGGTTGAGGGCAACAGTCCTCTGAGCCATGCTATGCTTGAGCCGTTCAGTGACCTGGCGGCCCCGACATTCCTTGATCACTCGGAGTTTGACACTCACCTGGACCTCAACACTGGCCTGAAAGAAGGAGCGAATGGCAAAGATGCCCACGGGAAGCGCCGCAGCATTGTCAGCAGCATTCTCAGGCGGAAGAGTGGGGAGCTGCACAGCATGCACCATGATCTAAGCGGTTTCAGTAAAGGGAGGAGTGGGGAGTTGCACAGCAAGCACCATGATACAAGCAGTTTCACTAAGGGAAAGAGTGGGGAGCTCTACAGCATCCACCACGATGCACACAGTTTCACCGGTGGGAAGAGTGGAGAGCTCTACCGTAGCAGCAGTAGCAGCAACCACAGTGGGACCATGGGTGCCGAAAGAAAAGGGTCTTCCTCGCCTTTTAAGGGAGGCCGCTTGATTCGAAGCAATAGCTTTGGAAGCCTTTCCTTCGTTGCCAGTGGTGGCAGTAGCAGTGGCAGTGGCAACGACATTAACAGCAAGGGCAAAGGCACCATGGACAGTGAGACAGGAGTGGCCAGTGATAGCAACGGTTACAGTGCCAAGAAGAGTTCTGGATCTCCCTTTCTGGGGGCCTCCTTGGGCTTCAAAAATCGCAGCAGCCAAAAGACCAGCGGCAGCAATGGCCCGGCCAGTGGGAGCAGGGGGGTGGGACCCTCAAGATTATGGAGCTCTCCTGTTGTAGGACCGCGGCGAAGTGATGCGAGAGGTCATTCCAAGAACCTGGTGGTAGGGACGGCGGCTGCTGCAGATGAGGAGTTCAGTGCATGGAAAGGGTTGGACACGGAATATGAAGGAAGCAGTAGTTATATGGGAGGAGGATCAGGACAAGCTGGAAGAAAAAAGAGTTTTAGCTTGAAGAGTGTCCTTTCTCCTAAGACGATAGGCAGCCCATAGAAATGGTAGGGATAGTAGGGATTGTTTAGAGCACCAATGACATTTTCTAACTAGTGTCCAATAACAGCTCTTAACTCACGTGGAAATATCACCAATTATTGTATTTGATAATGAATGTTTTTTTGTAAGGTTGATGGCTACAGAACTTCCTGTCAAATGTGTGCTCAGAGCACAAAACAGAGACAGAGGGCAGCAGCAATGCTAGAGGCTGTCGAGGAAGGAGATTTGATGTTTAGTGTCCAGTCAAAGGCTGCCACCTGCCAACGTATCCGAGTCTGTACCGCTGCAAGGTTGCTCTAGAAGCACCTACGTCACATGGGCTTGATTCCATCGCATGCCACGTGCTTCCAGCACAGAGGTACGGAACTCATGGTTCCTGAAAACCTTGGATTGCCTATAATCGCCCAAAAAGTCTCCTCCGGAAATTGATAGAGGGCTTAGAGCGCGTCTAAAAAGCTGTCGGTCATCCGTTGTCATTCGATGACAAAACAAATCGTAACCGTTGACATCCGTACGTAGGGCATTCAACGGATAATTTGGTGCTATCATCCGCTGTCATCCGCTAAAAGAGCACTTCAGACACGCTCTTACCAAGCCAATCAGTTTTTGTTATTCTATTAGAAAGCTTGAGGTTGCATTTCATTGTGCAGGCAAGCCCCAAGGTGTAGTCACCCTGGAAAAATAATCGTCGAGGCAACCGCTGAGCGACAACGGTTGCTACGCTACGCGCCCATGGAAGGCAGCACTTCTCGTGTAGCGACAAACAGTGATGGATTCTGTTGGAATTTCTCGCTGCTAAAGGCGACAACACCTTATTGGCCGAAGCGAGACTTTCCTTCATCCCATCTCATCCTCCACACAGCAACATAAGAGAATTAACGCCGTCGATGGATAATCATCGGACGTCTCAGGATTGCTCTTATACCACGTGGTTTGTCGAGCTTGCCCGAAATCTGATCCTGCCAACCCATCAGTGACACTTCAGATCCACACCCGCAACATGCTGACGCCATCGTGCGCGCCTTCCAGCAATATCACACAGGAAAGTGCTCTCCCCTCCCCTCCCCTCGTCTCCCCTCCCCGCCCCTCCCCGCCCTCAATCGTTCCCTGAGCTTGGCGGGATTTACTGCCACAAAACAGTCCCTTCCAGCGCAGCAGCCCGCCTTTGCTTTCCGCCAGCGTGTCCTTACCTCCTGCCATCCAAGCGCGCGGGGATCATCCCACTCTATTCGAAGCGCGACAACGTTGGGGATGTTGGTGATTGGTGAATTCAGCGCGCTTCTGCATCCATCCTCCCCCGTAGACCGAATCTTGAGCTAAGAACCATCCAAATTCACTTCCCCGACCATCATCCGCTGGTCCCGCTTCTCCTCTCTTCCCAGACACCCCTGGGGTTGTCGCGCAAGGAGCTGGACGCATGACCGCTTCAGGGGGGTTTGGAATGCGCGCCTACGCGTATCACGTGGCCCACCTTCCCCGTTCTGTTCCGCAAGCCCCATTTTTTAGCCAATAGCGAGCTACCATTTTGTACCAGCCGGAATCCTCCCCCTCCCGCAGGCGGACTTGTCATGGGGTGCGGGGGGGTAACGTCGTCCCTGGTAGCACCAATCACGGACAGAGCAGTCCTCCCCTCCCCTCTCCCAGGGAATTCCGTCGAGAAAAGTTCCCTAGGTTCATTGGGGTGTCTCTTAGGAGTACACTTCAGTGCGGTCCAGAGAGCTGCTTTACGTTGTAGAACGTTTAGGCGGGGTATCGACTCTTGAGGATGTTGAACTCTAGTTTTGGATGAATCCTTCACCCGTGAGGCATGGCAAGGGCAGCACAGCGCGGCACGATGGCAGAAAAGCAAGCAGCACAGCACTACGTAGCACAGCAGCGCCCATCCAACCCAAACCTAGCCTGCGAGCCTGTCTGCTTGGTTGCTTGCATTGCGTGCCTGAGAGTCTGTCGGTCTGCTTGCCTGCCGCTTGCGTGCGACGGCTCAGGTGCAATAAAGCATGAAATCTTTCCAATTCACAGCCCTCTTTTCCAGCTCGCCTTCGCGCGCAGCTGTGACCCTCCCCCTCCCCTTCCCTACGCACTCCTCGCTTACCTTTCTCGTTCCTTACCTGCACCTAATAATCCTGACGACAAGCTTCAAACGACTAGAACGATCGCTAATCTACGATATATCTTTCCTCGACGCGGCTCGTAAATTCGCTTCTCGAAGAATCTAGAATGCCTGGGGCTCAGAGGAACCTTCTTAGACCTTTCAGCACCAAGAGCCTTACCCAGGCTGTTTCTGGGGTCAATAGCGCGACTACCTCTATCGAGGATGAGTACTACGCAGGAGTTAAGATCAAGGTAAGCTTATCTCCCGACCGTCGCGAGCGACTGTGCCTGAATTGCTTGAATAGCGCGCATCGCTGTAACTCTACGAGCTTTCGTCCAGAACAGCAGACTGATTCGCGCTATTGTTCGGCTTGGGTTTGACTGGTTCGTTTTTCACACCAGTCGTTGCGCGCCTAACCTTCCGTCGTTATCCTCTCCGGTTCCTCGTCTTCCGCTCCTCCTTCGCTGTAGAAATGCGCGAAGCGTGGCAGGGTCGTTCGCACGGATCCCGACGCGACGGACGACTCGTCGGAGGACGACGAGAGCTGCAGCCCGGCCAGCAAGCGATGGGTGAAGCCCGTTGCGCCGCGGCAGGTATTACTTGTGGCGCTTGCTTTTGGTTACTCGTAACATGCACGTGCAGGACGACGAGAGCTGCAGCCCGGCCAGCAAGCGATGGGTGAAGCCCGTTGCGCCGCAGGTACGCGCTGAAGCCCGTTACATGTGCTTGCTGATGCGCTCGCTGCACTCTCGATCCCCTGCCCTCAAATTCCCCGTCCCCCATCCCCCGCCCCCTTCCTTTCTAAAGGCGCCTGTTTTTTCTCTATCCCCCGATTTTGCAGGGTGTTTTTGAGAATTCTCAAAAACACCCCGATTTCTGGTCCCTACTGTGCAGGTATTCAGCCACCCCGGCGTTGACTTGGAGAGCGACAACCAAAGGTTTTCGGTTCGAGTTCCCCCTGCGTCAAGGAAATCTCATTCTGTTGTCTTCTATCCCATTTCCCCACACTACTGCAGGTGTTCAGCCACCCCAGCGTCGACTCGGAGAGCGACAACGAGACGCACGTCACGGCGCCGGGCAACAGCAGCATCGCCCCGTGCCCGACAACGTTCCTCCCTCCGCCTTTCGCGCCGAACTACCCGGCCGTTCAGCCGCTGCAGTCCATGCACCAGTTCGCCCCCGTTTCTGGCACATTCGCTTATAATCCCTATTATCACTACGCCGCACCGCCGGCGAAAATGGCTTCGGCTAGCTGCCAGAAGCGGCGGTCCCCCCCATCTCCGTCGTCTCAAGCCGCTACTACCGCCGCCGCCCCGGCCGCCGCCGCAACTGCCGCCGCCGCAGGTGCCGCAAGTTCCGCGGGTGCCGCCGCCGCTGCGGCGTATCGCGGCGTGACGTCGTTTTCGCCCAACGGGATTGCCGTCGGCATGGGGGGCAGCTTCCCCCCCGCGCACCACCTTGCGCGCGCTAGCTACGGCAACTATTATGCGCACATGGGCATGCCCACCCCTACTAATCGCCTGTTCTCAGGCCCCGCTGCGGCTCCCCCCGCTCCTAGCACTTCCCCAGCCGCTGCATCCGCCGCTGCCGCCGCCGCCGCCGCCGCTGCAGGTGCAGCGCCGTTTCCCATCGACTACCCGCCAATGCAGTGGATGCCGCACATGGGGTATTTCCCGGGGGTGCCGTCCCCGCATCCGGCGGCGCAGATGCAGCCGCAGATGCCGCCGGGCGCGGCGGAGTTTTATTTCATGCAGTACGCTGCGGCGGCGGCGCAGGGGCAGTGCGGCGCGCAACAATTCGCGGCGGCGGCGGCTGCTGCCGGCCTGCCGGCCATCAGCCCGGCCGTCAGTTCTGACGGCGGCGCTGCCGGCGCGGCGGCCCTGCAGGCGAGAATGCGTGGCGGGAAGGGGAAGAAGGCGGACGCGAAGGAGAGGCAGCAACACCGGTACAGGGGCGTGCGGCAGCGCCCGTGGGGGAAATGGGCAGCGGAGATCCGAGATCCCGCGCGCGGCGTGCGCCTGTGGCTGGGGACGTACGACACCGCGGAGGACGCCGCGCGCGCGTATGACGCGGCTGCGCGCGCCATCCGCGGGGCGGAGGCGCAGACGAACTTCGCGGGGGAAGGTTCCGCGGAGGGGGCAGCGGGGGAGGGTCCGGGGTCGGGCTCTTCCGCTGGTGGTGCTGGTGGCGGGGGGACGGTGGTTCCTGGTGCGGGCGGGTCTGGTGTGGGTGTTGTACCCGCTGTAGTGAGGACCAAGAAGAACAGCAAGGCGCACAAGTACATGCAGGGCTATTGCAGCGACTCTGAGAGGTACAAACCGTCTGCCTGGCACCCGCTGTTCGCACCACCCGTTCCGTCCCGCTATTTCCCCAGCCTTTCACCTGCTCCTTTCCCGGCTCCCCTCCCCGCCCCGAATTTCTTTCCCCATCTTCGTTTGGCGTTCTATTTCGCTTTGAAACCGTTAAATGCAAGTTTGACTCATTCCGCCTTCGCATACCGCTTTCCCCTTTATACAACGCCCCGTTTGCATTGCAGCATTCTCAGCGAAGTGGCCTCAGAAATTTCATCCTGCACCAAATCGTCCTCCTGCACGAACCTTTCATCTGCCCCTTCATCTGCCCCGGCATCGCCCAAAGCCAAGACCGCCTCCGCAGCCCCCTCCCCCTACTCGCCCTCCTCCTCCACCCCATCAGCCGACTCCGACTTTCTCTTTCTCCTCCCAAAGCCTCTCACAAACACCCCACCGGCAACCGGCAATGCCACATGCATCCCCGCAGCAGGGGCAGGAGAAGACTTGGGCTTTAAGGGAGCGGTTCCCAATGCCAAGGGAGCAGCGGAGGAGGAGGAATTTCCGGTGTCAGAGCTCGATGCTGAGACGTTTTCTTTCAGCCTGGAGGAGGTCTGTGGGGGTGCTGCTGGGGGGGAGGATGGCGGTGCGCCGTTTTGGGACCTCGACGTGCCGCCGTACCTGGAGACCACGGAGATCGGCCTGGACAGCATTCTCTGGTAGCTCGGTGCAGTGCGGTGCGGTGCGGTGGGGATGGAGGTGCGCCGTTTTGGGACCTGGATGTGCCTCTGTACCTGGAGACCAACGAGATTGACCTGGACAGCATTCTGTGGCGATTCAGTGGCATATCTGTTGACAGCAGCATGATGTGGCTGGCAGCAGCAAGAGTGGTTGGGAGTGCAACACAGCGGCGACAAGAGTGATTGGAGCACAGCATAACGACAGCTATGATGTTTCATTTGCAACGATGGCTTTTCACACCATGGTGAACTGATGGCTTTTCACACCATGGTGAACTGGAGTGGAGGGGAATCATCCGCATGTGCAACAGCAGCAGCAACTGCAAGCGTCCATTGTGGAACCATCGGTATGTCTGGCGAGTAGTTGGCAGCGTGACATGCACCATGCGGCACCAAGAAGCATCACGTGGGAAGAAGCACCACTGGAAGGAGCATTTGCTTGTACCGTAACACGGTAGCATTGTTTGGGCAGGAGATAAAATGAGAGCAGCTCATAATGAGTTGCTCAGGTGTTACCTGCCCCCAGCAGCTGGCAGTTGGTTGGTTCCCATCTTATGATTTCTTTAGGGTCATGGGAATGAGGGGAGCCACTATACTAGAAGGCCCCCCTTTTAGTGGTTGTTTCTCATCTTCCTACCCTATATGCTCGTATTTACATTGCTCGAATCTATCTAGGAGCCCAGCCGCTGGCAGCAAGGCTTGTTCGGAGGGAATTTGTTAGCAGCACACTAAAACCAGCAGCTGTTTGTGGCACCTTGGTGTTGACTGCAGTGCTGTGCTTTTAGTGAGTTTTTCTCCACGAAACAGGACATGCATGCAGGTGTGCCTCTTAGCATGAGTCTATTTTGAGGTGCCAAAATGGATTCCTTTGTGCCTCTGAGCATTGTCATGCAGGAGCCTGCAAGCAAGCGAACTCCTAAAATAGCATGTCTTAAAAGCATCCTTGCCAATGCAAAGACAAGCCGCAAGATTGCAGCAGAACTTCCCTTAAGTAGCATGCTGTTTTTGCTAATAGCTACAGTAATGCAGCACTTGACTATAGTATTGCTACACATTCTTCCATGCCTCCATCCCTCCATTCTTGCACCTAGCCCCTTACTTCCACCTATCTCCACCAAGCTCCACCTAGCTCCACTCCTCTGGTGTGCTAAAAGCAGTGCTTTCCAGCGGACTCCCATCCCCTCCCACGCTCTTCCCATTCAGCTGCTGCTGCAGCAGCTCCTCCTTGCCCTCTCCCTGCCCTTTCACCTGCCCTTCCACCTGCCCTTCCTCCTCCCCCTGCTGCTGCTGCTGCTGCTGCTGTGCTCGGCCGGCTGCCTCTTCCTGCCTCAGAATCCCTGCAATGCTTCCAGGCATGTCGCTCCCATAGATATGCCCCATCTTCTTTCTCTTGGCTTCCAGATAGGCTCGATTCTCCTGCATATAGGGAGAGTAAGGGTGTGAGTGAGGGTGTGAGCGAGGGTGAGAGTGAGGGTGTGAGCTATTGCATCATGCTTCCAGGCATCATGCTTCCAGGCATCATGCTTCCAGGCGCGTCGCCACTCTAGACCTGGGATGGGGCATGCATCAGCAGAATTGGGTGCCAAAACGCCGCAGGGATGGGGTATGGCAAGAGTCTGCTTTTGAGTCGACTCAAAAGCAGGGATAGGGTATGGCAAGAGTCTGCTTTTGAGTCGACTCAAAAGCAGGGATAGGGTATGGCAAGAGTCTGCTTTTGAGTCGACTCAAAAGCAGGGATAGGGTATGGCAAGAGTCTGCTTTTGAGTCGACTCAAAAGCAGGGATAGGGTATGGCAAGAGTCTGCTTTTGAGTCGACTCAAAAGCAGGGATAGGGTATGGCAAGAGTCTGCTTTTGAGTCGACTCAAAAGCAGGGATAGGGTATGGCAAGAGTCTGCTTTTGAGTCGACTCAAAAGCAGGGATAGGGTATGGCAAGAGGAAGGAGGACTAGGAGCGTAGAGGCCGACAGAGTAGACAGATGAAGGAGGGACTGGTGAGGAGGACGCTATGAGGTTACTTTTGAGTCGACTCAAAAGGAGGACGCTATGAGGGGACTTTTGAGTCGACTCAAAAGGAGGACGCTATGAGGTTACTTTTGAGTCGACTCAAAAGGAGGGCGCTATGAGTTGAACAGGAGGAGAGCTTACAGGAGCCACGTGGTCAGATCTCACAGGAGCCACGTGGTCAGATCTCACAGGAGCCACGTGGTCAGATCTCACAGGAGCGACGTGGTCAGATCTCACAGGAGCGACGTGGTCAGATCTCACAGGAGCGACGTGGTCAGAGCTTACAGGAGAGGTTATGCCATGTGTTGTCAGACAGAGACGTTCTGTGAATGTCACTGCGAGACCATGCCCCTTGAGCCGGATGTACTTGGCGGGGTTGTTGGTCATCAGCCGCGCGTTTAGAGCACAGAGGGTGTAAGGCGGTCACTTACAGGGGTGATGGGGCAGAGAACAGGCACTCGGCCGGTCACTGCGAGACCGTGCCCCTTGAGCCCGATGTACTTGGCGGGGTTGTTGGTCATCAGCCTCATTGTTCGCACACCCAAGTCCCTAAGGATCTGAGGGGGGTCAGGGTAAGGGTAGATAGAAAAGATTGAGGGAAAGAAAGGAAGTAGAGGAAGTAGGCATGACACACATGTACTTGGCTGGTTGTTGGTCATAAGATAAGTCGCGCAGTTCGCACTCCTAGGTCCCTTGGACTATTAGCCGAGACAGGCGAGGATGACCGGAGCGGGGGAGAGAGCATGGGGAGAAGAGCTGGCTGTTGAGAATTTTCCCAGAGCAGCTCGTCTCGTGGGACCTGAACGGAGAGGCGAGTCAGGCGAGGATGGTGTGAACGGTGAGAACGGGGGAGCAGAGAGGGAAACTTAGAGGGCGGACGGGTGGTTTGGGGGCTTTACTTCTACCAACCAACACACGTCGTAAAGTGCCCAGTATACTCACACGTGTGAGAACATTGATGGTGACTAATTGTGATCATAGGCGGGCGTTTCATGTGATAAAATGGATGGCGTGGACACACACAGACGATATGGAACAAACACCTGATGGCATCAACCTGAGCACCTGAGCACCTGAGCACCTGAGCACCTGAGCACCCTCCTAGTGCACCCACCAGAGCACCCACCTGGTGCACCCACCAGAGCACCCACCTGAGCAAAGCACCCACTTATACACCCACCTGAGCGCCGATGCCATATTCCCTGGAGTCAACTGGAAAGCCCAGGTCCACATTGGCCTCCACTGTGTCCCGCCCCATGTCCTGCGAGGAGGGGGAGAGGTGAGGCAGCGAAGAGGCGTTTTTGAGAATTCTTAAAAACACCCTGCAAAAAGAGAGGTGAGGGGGCGAAGAGGTGTGGGAGAAAGAATTAAGATGGGAGGGGGGAGGCATGTCAAGGAGCTGCCAAGCCCAGCCCTCCGCTGGCGTCGTCTGTGTTCCGTCCGGCCCATGTCCCGGCAAAGGAGGCAGGGGCGGCTTTTGAGTCTACTCAAAAGGCACCTCCCTACGCTGGTCTCCTCTGTGTTCCGTCCGGCCCATGTCCCGGCAAAGGAGGCAGGGGCGGGGGGGAGCAAGGGAGGGGGAGAGAGATGAAGAAGGGGGGGGGGGGGGGGGGGAGGGGGAGGAGGAGGGAAAGGGAAAAGGGAAGAGGACAGGGAGGAGAGAGGGAGGTGGCGGGAGGGGTGGGGGGGTTGGGGGGGATAGAGCAGGACGGAACTGTGGGATAGCAGGAAAGCAGCCACGGCGTTTTAGATCGAATACAGCCACCAAACACACCCTGCAGGTTGACGCCCCAACCAAGACCGACTCACCTGCTGTCGTGGCCACTCAGGTACATGCGCACCGCCCTCTGCCATCACTACCCTACCCATCTTGGTCACCCCTAACAAACCACCCATACCTGCACGTTATACGCTTGCAACTTGTGCCAGAGACCAATCGGCTGCCCTCGTGCCCTCTCAGGTACACGCACACGCCGCACCCTGTCATCTCTATCCTCTTCATAGCCTGCTCCGTCTCAACACCAAAGAAGAACATAACCCAACCTTGAAATCGAACCCACCTGGAGGTTGTACGCCTGCAGCTTGTGCCCGAGCCCATTGCCTCTCCCCTTGCACCCTCTCAGGTACACTTACATGCCCCGCCCTGCCATCACTATCCTCCCCTAACAAACCACCCATACCTGTAGGTTGTATGCCTGCAGCTTGTGCCCGAGCCCAATCCCCCGCCCTCGTGCCCTCGCAGGTACACTTACACGCCCCTCCCTGCCATCCATACCCTACCCTCCCCTCACAAGCCACCCATACCTGCAGGTTGTTCGGCTGTAGCTTGTGCCCGAGCCCAAATGCCTCTCCCCTCGTGCCCTCTCAGGTACACACACACGCCCCTCCCTGCCAACTCTATCCTCCTCATACTCTTTCTCTACCTACTCAAAACCAATCAAGATTTGAGGCGCCTCAAAACCAATCAAGAACATTTCCCAATTTCACCTACAGGTTATGTAGGTGAAATCGATTCCCGAGGCATCGGCTTACTGCTTGTGCCCCAGACCAATGCCTCTCCCCTCGTGCCCCCTCAGGTACACGCACACGCCCCGCCCTGCCGTCTCTATCCTCCTCATAGCCTGCTCCGTCTCAGTGCTACTCAAGAGCATAGTTCAAACCCACCTGCAGGTTGTACGCCTGTAGCTTGTGCCCGAGACCAATCTCAGGTACACGCACACGCCCCGCCCTGCCATCTCTATCCTCCTTATAGCCTGCTCCAGTTGCGGCCCACAGTAGAACCGCCTTTATCACCGCCTCTATCCTCCTCATACCCTCCACCACCATTTCAAAACCAGACAAGAACATAACCCGAACTCACCTGCAGGTTATATGCTTGCAGCTTGTGCCCCAGACCGATGCCTCTCCCTTCGTGCCCTCTCAGGTACACGCACACGCCCCGCCCTGCCATCTCTATCCTCTTCATAGCCTGCTCCAGTTGCGGCCCACAGTCACACCGCCTCGACCCGAAGATGTCTCCAGTTAGGCATTCTGAGTGCACGCGCACCAGCACATCCACACCATCACCGATCTCGCCCTGTGTGTGCGGGGAATGAGAGGCGTTGATTGGGTGGGGGGAAAGAGGAGAGGCCTTATCAGCACCACCTTGACCCGAAGATGTCTCCGATTAGGCACTCTGAGTGCACGCGCACCAGCACGTCCACACCATCACCGACTCCGCCCTGTGTGTGGGGCAAAGGGGGGCATTGAACGGGCGGGGGGAGAGGAGAGGCCTTATCAGCACCACCTCAAACACTCTGAGTGCACCCTCACCAGCACGTCCAGCCCATCACTGATTTCGCCCTGTGTGTGGGGGAAAGAGGAGAGCGCCTTCTCAGCATCACCTTGACCAGAAGATGTCTCCGGTTAGGCACCCTGAGGGCATGCGCACCAGCACGTCCACGCCATCACGGATCTCACCCTGCGTGGTAGAAGGGGGAAGGGGGGGGAGTGGTGGAAAGGGAAGGAGAGGAAAAACAGGTGAGCCTAGGTGAATGCGTGCACCTAGACACAATGATGTCTCCGTCCGGTTAGACATTCTAGGTGAACGCGCGCACCAACACGTCCGCCCGATCACCAATCTCACCCTGCGTGGATGAGGGGGGAGATAAGGGGGGAGTGGGTGGAAAGGGGAAGAGAGGAGAAGCCAGAGAAGCGTGTGAAATGCGCCGACAGGGGAAGAAATTTCGAGACATCTCAACACCCTGAGTGGTAAGGTGGGAAGGGGGGCAGCGGTAGATGAGTCGGAGGGGGAGAGGGGTGGAAGGCGCTAGCAGGGACCATTCTTTCCCAGGTGCCCTGCAGTGCTGTACAGTTGAGTGCGGTTCAGTGCGGTGAAGTGCGGCTCACCTTGACCATGGCGATGAGCTCTGTCATCCGGCTTGCTCTTGTTACTGAAGATGTTGAACAAACCCTAAACCCTAAACCCGAAACCCTAAACCCTAAACAGGTGCAATGCAGGGCGGTGCTATGCAGTGCAATTCAACACGCTTTGAAGCGGTTGAATGCGGTTCAGTGTGGAGCAGCACAGTTCACTAACTCACCTTGACCATGGCGACGTGCTCTATGTCGTCCAGCTTGCTCTTGTAGCTGAAGATGCTGAACACGCCCCACTGGGTGGGCAGCCGCGCCACCGCAGTCCTCTCCACCAGCTTCTCCCGCTTGCGCCGGTACCTGCGGTGGGTGGAAAGGGTGGGGGAAAGGTGAAAAGGAGCACGTGGACATGACGCAGAGTTTTGGGATTGCATTTGTTTGGCAGGGGGCATGCTAAAGGGTGGGCAGCCAAGCCACTGCAGTCCGATCCGCCAGCTTCTCCTTCTTGGGCCCGTGCCTGTGGTTATACATAAAGGGGGGAGGAGAGCGGCGTGTGTTTGGTTGTCAGGCATTGCAAAGACGATTTTTGAGGCGCCACAAAAATCGTTTGAGGCGCCACAAAAATCGTTTGAGGCGCCTCAAAAGTTGTCAGGCATTGCAAAGCACAGACATACAAAGAAAACACAAAGAGCACTCGGGCATCCGCGGGCATCCATGGGCCGCACAAGGGGAGATTCAATTAGTCAAACAAAACCTCCGAGCCACAGCAGACCTTTGCTCGTTCAGCTGCAAAGGCACCGCATGCGACTGCGTAGCACCGCTTCACGACACACTAAACCGTACCCAGGAGCCATCACCATTCATCATCTCACACAGCAGCACTCACCCGTACTGCACCAGATTGAACCGCACTGAATTTCACTACACCGTACCTGAGTGATCAGGTCTTCAATGGAGATGAGGCACAGGTTGTGCTCGCGAGCAAACACCTTGAGCTGCAGCAGTCGAGCCGTGGAGCCATCGTCATTCACTCTCACACAGCACCACCACTCTGAACCGTACAGCACTAGATTCAATTGCACTGCACCACATGCTACCCTACCTGATGAGGTCTTCAATGGAGATGAGGCACAGGTTGTGCTCGCGAGCAAACACTTTGAGCTGCGGCAGCCGAGCCATGGAGCCATCGTCATTCACTATCTCGCACAGCACCCCCACGGGGGGGAGCCCTGCCAGCACCGACAGGTCCACTGCTGCCTCTGTGTGTCCCGCCCGCTTGAGCACACCGCCTGGGATGGGGTGGAAGGCGACAGCACAGGGGAGTAATGATATGATACGAGAGACGTCGTTCACTATCTCACACAGGGGGGGAGGCCTGCTAGCATTGATAGGTCCATAGCTGCCTCTGCGTGCCCCGCCCTCTTGAGCACACCGCCTGAGATGGGGTGGAAGGCAGGGTAGGGTAAGGGCATGGAAGGGCAGGGCAGGGTAAGGGGCGGCATGCATGAGGAGGGAGTCCTGCCAATCAAAGATAACATCGCCAATCTCACACACCACCCCCACGGGAGGGAGTCCTGCCAGCATTGATAGGTCCACTTCTGCCTCTGTGTGCTCCACCCTCTTTAGTGCTCCACCTGGTATGAGCATGAGAAGCACAAGAGTGGAAGGTGGGTGGGAACAAGCAGGGCACTTAGGCCTGAGGCACCAACCTCACACAGCACCCCCATGGAAAGCACTGATTGGTCGACTGGTATTTTTCAACTAGCATACAACGCATTCCCACAATTGAAACATTTTAACCCTAAAATTGAGGCAGCTCAACGAGCAGTACCTTCTCGGGACCACAGGGAAAAATGTGGCCTGGCTTGCAGAAATCCAAGGGCTCACTGGAGTAGTCTGCCAGCGCGAGCTGTCTAGAGGTCCTGAGGCTACGGACTTCACAGTATCCCAAAGGGGGGATGCAGTGCCTTCTTGGGACCGCAGGAAAAGCATCCTACCTTCTCGGGAGCGCAGGGGGAAGATGTGGCCGGGCTTGCGGAAGTCCGAGGGCTCGCTGGAGTAGTCCGCCAGTGCCCGCACCGTCTTGGCCCGGTCCGAGGCCGATATGCCCGTGGTGGTGCCGGGCTTGAGGTCCTGAGGGAGGCAGGGCAGGGAATGACGGAGATGCAAGCGAATAAAATCTTGCCCGGTGCAGTGCCATGCCGCACTACCATCTTTGAGTCGACTCAAAAGTCAGCTTTTGAATCAACTAAACAAATTAAAGTCTTGCCCGATGCAGTGCCGCACTACGAGCGCCATGTCCGCCTCTGCTGTGAGCGCTGAGGCACACGCCCTTTCACGCACCCAGCCACTCACCACTGACACCGTAAAGGCCGTCCTTAACGCCTCTTCATTCTCCTGCGAGCGAACCATCAGAGGGAGTTCCAAACGGTCCAAAACGGCCCCTGCCACGCCCGCGCAGACGAGCCCGCTGCAGTGCCGCACAATGAAGGCCATGTCCGCCTCTGTGGTGAGCGCGCCTGCCATGATCAGATCACCCTCGTTCTCCCTGTCCTCGTCGTCCACCACCACCACCATCTGCAGGGGGGAAGGGTGGGGGGAAGGGAACGGGAAGGGGGTAAAGCGGTGGGGTCGGGGGGCTGGGGATGAGAGCAAGAGCCATGATCGGATCGCCCTCGTTCTCCCTCTCCTCGTCATCCACCACCACCACCATCTGAAGCAAGGGGAAGACAAGGGTGGAGGGGGGCGAGAGGGGGGGGAGGCGATGGGGAGGGGGAGAGCGCGTAGCATGCGCCATGATCAGATCGCCCCCGTTCTCCCTGTCCTCGTCATCCACCACCACCACCATCTGCAGCAAGAGGGGGATGGACGAAGAGGGAGAGAGGGCATGGTTGGAGCGGAGGGAAGGGGAGTGGGGGGGAGGGGAGGGGGAAGAGGGGGGGGAGGGGAGGGGGAAGAGGGGGGGGAGGTGGAGGGAGACAGGGGGAGAGCCTTCAGTTCATTCAGAGCTCCTCCCCCTCTCTCCCTCTTCCAGCACGACCCTGAGGGATTTAATGTGACTTAAAGCACACATCACCTTCCCTCAGACTGTATCTCCCCACCCAGGATGCATCTGGATGCATCCTCCCAAACCAATCAGGATTTAATCTGCGACTTCAAGAACAAGGCACCTTCCCCCATCCGGATCGCATCTCCCCGCCTTCTGTGGCCCCCAGCCCACACCGCTTCCCCCAACCACATCCCTCCTCTCCTTCCCCCTTCCCCCCTCACCTACATTGAATCCCCTCTCTAATTCACCCCGCCTCAACGACTGGCTTCAATGCCTTTGGAGATGAAATCGAGCCCCCGAGATGGACGGCCAGGATCGGCCTCCCAATCACGATTCCTCCCCCAAACGAACATCCGCCCGATTCCTCCCCCTAACGAACATCCGCCCGATTCCTCCCCCAAACGAACATCCGCCCGATTCCTCCCCCAAACGAACATCCGCCTTGCTTTCACCCATCCACTTACACCGCCTTCCCAGCAAGCACTGCCTCCCTCTCCAACGCACCTCGCCCCGTCGGATGGCTTCGACAGCCTCGGAGATGGAGTTGAGCTCTTGAGATGGACGGCCAGGATCGTGTCATCCCACACGCATTGCCTTCTCCCTGCCCGCGTTTCCTCGCCTCTCTGACTCACCTCGCCACGTCGGATGGCTTCGATGGAGTTGAGCCCTCGGGATGGACGGTCAGGATTATCATGCCACACTGCCTCCCCCTCCAGCTCACCTCGCCACGTCGGATGGCTTCGATGGCCTCGGAGATGGAGTTAAGCCCTCGAGATGGACGGTCAGGATCGTCGTCTGCCTCGCTGGCAAAGAACTCCTCGGAGTCTGATTCCGAGAGCACCTCCATCTCCACCGTGCTCATGCTGCTGGCAGGTAGTTTTACGGGGGGGAGGGGGGAAAAAGAGAAAAGGGGGGGGGAGAGAGGGAGGGGGAAGGGAGGTAGGCAGAGGCGTGCTTTGATCAAAGGCCGAGTTAACGAGCACCTCCATCTCCACCGTGCTCATGCTGACGAGGTGGAGGAGAGGGGGGAGGGGGGGGGGGGGGGGAGGGGGGGTGTGAGGAGGGGAGGGGAAGGGGGGAAATGCACATAGAGGTGAAGGGGTGCACGAGCGTGCTAAAAAAGAAACCAAGTCGGAGAGGATCTCCAACTCCACCGTGTGCATTCACGCTGAGAGGAAGAGATGCACGGAAGGGTTTGGGGGGTGCGAGCAAACGGCGTTTTGCGTTTGCAACATGCATTTGAAATGCACGGCTGAAAGCACGGTAACTATGCTTATCGGTTTTGACGTGCCCGAGTCAACCATTCAAGGATCGCACATCGCTGGTCTTGCCACTGCTCTGCGGCATGCCACAGCTCCGCGGCATGCATGACCACAACGATCACATGAATCAAGAAGCCAGCGCAAATCCAAATGGTTTCGTTTCTCTTTTTTCTTTTTCTTTTTTCTCTCTCTCTCTTTCTTTTTCCCTGTTCTTTCCCGCGCCCTTACCACATTTGGAGATCCACATTCGCATTCCAAACAACGACGTACCAATAAGTTCGCCAGTTCATAATCTGTTCAGAGCTCGTGAAGGGAAGGGTTTACGCGGAAGGAGGTGTAGTTGAGTCGCCTTAAAGAAGGACTGACCTTGGCATGTCAGGACTGTTGGCAGCAGCACCGTTCTCAGGAACAGAAGCTTCATCACCCCCCAATGCGGCACAGCAACACAGCCGATCCTTTCTGTGAGCACTCTCCCGTTCCAACACTCCCCTTCTCCCTGCATCTTTCCGTCGGCTCCTGCCTGGTGCTACTGTTTGCTGCCGCTGCAGCTGCTGTCCCCAAAAACCACGTCGCTGGGCTTCTAACATGCCGCTGCTACTGCCCTGCTGTCCTACGCTGCCACAGATGCCAGCGTGGCAGATCGGAGAATGGCGGCAGACACTAGCTTTGTTTGAGCACCGTGTTGATGCAAGTTTGAACCCTCGTGGTCTTGCGAGATTTGCAGGGCCGATAATCTGATCTCTGCTTGGGTGAGGTGCGACGGGAAAACGATGGAGGGACGAGATTGCACGACGATGAAAATGGATGGTAACGAAGCAACGTATTCTTCGCCGCATTGCTAAGACATAACGCGATAAACAATGCTAACTCTCCTGAGGTTTGTGACTAATACGAGCTGCGGGATAACAGCGAGTTTCGGTAAAAGAGAGTTAGCACGATCAGATGCTAACGGAGTGAAGCTGACAGAGAGTAACGACCTGTGATGCAGGGAAATCTAGGTCAAACGTGCAGAGATGACTTCTGACTCGACTTAAAAAAGTCACGGAGTGAAGCAGACAGAGAGTAACGACCTGTGATGCAGGGAAATCTAGATCAAAAGTGCAGATACCCGTTTTGATGGGCGACACGGAAGGTCTACGTGGATAGAAAACTAGTAACGAACGATTTTCTGTGATCTATGGATAAGCCGACTTCCGTTCGACCTCTCAACATTAGAAAACCTATACACTGATAAGTGATCAGTGTTACAAGAATCCCTTACAATGAGCTCCCCGGCGAAGGCCGAGCTATCGATCCGCACAGCTCCATGGCCTGACTCACGGATCCCGCTTTCAAGAATCACCGTTGGCTTCAGCTGGTACTTTTTGTTTCGACGAGAAGAACTAGCAAGAAACTGTGTGCATATGTATGTACTGTGTCAAATCCCAAGAATCAGATTTCCAACGATAGCGTCGGAGACAAGGTCGTAGACGGGCCGTGCGATGATTGAAACAGGTATTTGGGAGGACGCCAAGGTCCGAGACGGTAATCCCAAGGGTCTTGAGAATACGGAGAGACTAAAAGATGCTGTTGGAAAGGGATCAGAGCTTCAAGTGAAAGGATCTCTTGCTGCTTCTGTTTGTGGGATTTCGGGAACTTCAACGGAAAGATGAAGCAAGCAAATGCTGACGACAAGCATGAAGGAATCAGGCGGGAAAACCAAGGCAGAAAAGTTCCCGAACCTGTCCACACTTTTCTAGCGAGCCTGTTCCACACGTTCTTTTTGTCCTTGGGGTGATATGGTTCGGTTCGGCGAGACAAGTTTCAGGCTGAGGCTCGGAAGGGTCGCTTTCTGGCTCAGGCAGGGCCTCGTGCCACATCACAAACACACACCAAAGAGGCCGCCGGGGGGTGGAGCTGCTTGCCACGTCACGGAAAGCGAAGTTACATGCAGGCATGGGGGTCGGTGACCTGCTGGGGTAAATTGCTGGAACAGACCGCTTCGATACAACGATATTCGTGACTAGCAAAATACCTGAGGCGCGTGACGACAGTTCAAAGTTTAGAAAAGGATGTAGTACTCCCGATTCTGGAAGAATGACAAGAAAATTCGCTTTCCGAGGGGCACCTTCACGAAGTCCAGATCGCCAATCAACCAGGTAGTCACCGTTCTGCTGTTAGTGGAACCAGGCCTTTCCACTTCCGCGGCTTCCGCCATCGCTCCCAATTGCGCATGCGCACTCCCCTTTTGCGCGCACCCTCCCCCGCCTCCCCCTCCATCTCCTTCTCCTCCCTCCCTCGCTACCTCTTTTTCCTCTGCTCCTCCTACTCTGTTACTCCTCTTTCTCCCATCATGGTACGCTCCCTAAACGCTTCAGTCTTAGTAGTTTCACGAAGTCGCGCCGCGTGTTTCCTACTGCACGCCTGTGCTTGCGACGCTTATGTGCTTAGTTCCCGACGTTTATTTCTAGCTCCTGCTTGCGATGGAAATTTTCGTTCCAGCGTCGTCAGTTGCGAAATTCAAAATCTCGTCGATTCAACTGCTTTTTAGGACAAAGGGCCCTTTCTGGTGACTGAGTCTTCGTTCTTCTGCTATTTCCGCCCTTTCTCGCTCTCCGTACTCCCCGTTGTATCGCCTGTCCGTACTCCTTGCGCCACCAGGCTCCGAAGAAGGACGCAAAGGCCGATAAGGCTCAAGCCAAGCCCGCCAAATCAGGAGGCGGCAAGCAGAAGAAAAAGGTTCGTTCATTTTGCCCTACCTCATTCGTTCCATGGCCTCTTATTTCTTTCTGCGTGTTTTTCACCGCATGGCTTTCGCGAATCTTCCCCTCTCGCAAGCTTCCCCTCCTCCTGGTTCTGTTAGCCTTCCTCTTCTTGACTTCCTCCTGCTCCCTTCCGTACCCGTTCCACGTTCTTGGAAGCCGAAGGTAGCAAGGGGTTGCGAAGGGTTCCATCAGGTTCCATTAGATTCCATCAGGTTACATAGGTCGGTTTAAATTCTGCAGGTCATGCTCAGATTCTGACGCTACGCTTGTTTCCGACCGTCACACGAAGCTGGTGCAGCAAATGGGGTAGTCTGTGCGTGGCGGGAGGCTGGATACGCAAAGCGATGGGGCATCACGAGATTAGGGTTTCGGAGGGCGTTGACCATGCAGCCGCAGAGATCGCGTAGCTGTAGCGTGTTCTAGCAGTCTCCAGTCCCCCACTCTCTCCTAGTGTCTCACCTACGTTGTTTCAGACAGCGGAGGGATCTCCTAGGCCATAATCACTTCGCGCCCCACGCCAGCAAAAGTCAGAGCGGCTTACTGGCCGTCGCTTAGGTGGCGAGGTCGATACCCATGGCTCTGCTGCGCCCGGCAGCCTGTGTGGAAACTGAAACGTGTACTTGTGCTGAGAATCCTGTATCCTGCCTGGCGAATCTGATTGCGTGAGCAGAAGTGGAGCAAGGGGAAGCAGAAGGAGAAGGTGAACAACATGGTGCTGTTCGACCAGGCCACGTACGACAAGATGCTCTCCGAAATCCCCAAGACCAAGCTCATCACCTGCTCCGTGCTCTGCGATCGCCTCCGCGTGAGTGCTCCTTTTGCAATCCTGATCCACTGTTTCTGTGTCTTTTGAGTTCGCTCAAAATACCCATCCGCGCTCTGCTACCGCCTTCGCGTGAGTGCTCCTTTTGTAGTCATGAACCATTATTTCTGTGTCTTCTGAGTACCTTCAAAAGACACCTCCGTGCTTTTCGGTCGCCTCTGCGTGGGTATGCCGCTGCTGTCACTGCCTTGAATCAGGTCTCCCCCACCATTTTTCTGTATCGCAGTCTCTTCTCCAGCCACTGCGTCCTTCCGTTTCCGAATTTCTCCAATGCTTCTAGTTCCTGGCCCTTCCAGTTTTTTTGCAGTGGGAAGCAGGCTTCTCATTTCTGCTCCTTTTTGGCTAAACACTCCCATAACCATCTCCCGTCTATTCTGCTTCTTTCTGCAGATCAACGGCTCCTTGGCTCGGCGGGCCATCCAGGACCTGTTGTCGCGAGGCAGCATCCGTGTTGTGTCCACCCATGCCACACAGTGCATCTACACCCGCGCCACCAACACGTAAAACACTAGTTTTCGTCCTCATGGAGCCATCGGATTATGCATGTTGACTAGCTCTGTCTGTGCATTAGCCTGCCATTCCTGCCGAGTGTACCTCTACATGTCAGTCAAGTGCCAGCAGCTTCCGTTCCGTTGCCTTGATTTGTTATGGGTGGATACGCTGGCTGGTAAGATGGGATGGTGAAGCAAATGGCTGTTAAAGCCCAATTTGGGACGAAGCTTTAACAAGTGATGACGAGCGTGTTCTTATCAGTCTCTTCCCAGGCCATCCTCTTCCCAAAATCGGCCCTCGCCAGAGAGAATGCTCGAAGAACCGTGTTCCCAGCTTATTCGTTTTAGAATCACGTTCTTCACCGCAATGAATCAGCTCCCGTCAAAATCGCACTGTACAGATTCGCGCTCGTCTGAAATTTTGGCGACTGGAACGAGATTTGAAAACACGCCCTCGACAAACCCAATCTCAAGTCACACCACGCGGAACCGCACTAAACAGTTTCGCGTAAAAATTACGCTGCGCTGTAGCGCCTGAGTCTGGGAAGAGGTTGGCCGGGAAGAGGCCGCAGAAACACGCTCTAACTTCACACGAGAACACGGGGAACCCACTTGTCCCTAGAGTTATTCAGATACATTTTTGGGTTGCGTAGCAACCCTATAAAATCGGTTTCACATTTCGGAGCATTAATATGAACAGCAAATTTTAAGAATTTAGTTAACTGTTCGATGCAACTCCAAAATATGAATCCGAAATGTCCAAAGTGCTCCATCGCGTCGATAAGTACGGCGGATGGAACAATCAGACCGCATGACACATTTCGACAAATTATTATGTATAATTAAACATTCTGTAGGATTGCAAATGACAAGAAACGAGTGCATATAGGCATTAATGTCAAACATGTGTATTTCTCATGTTTGTATAGACTGTGTTGGGCTGAGAAAAAGCCCTTAGGATCTTTTGCAGAGACTAAGTCCCAGCTTGTAGAGACTTGAGACTTGGAGTAGTGCAGCGGAAGTTGAGGCAGTTGAACCCTTGTACTAGTATGTGAGAACAAGTGATTGATTAAAGAAACAAGCATACAGCAATATATAGAAGATAAGAAAGCAGTTGTAGAATACAGTTACAGGAACGGTTTATCGAGTCGCACAGCGACTCGATTGCCGCTTCGGTTACCATCCGTGATGTTGTAACGGTCAGTCGCAACCTCCAGTTGCGACCTTTCGAGTCCTTTCGCATTCTTTGTCCGCCCCCTCGTGTAACCTCCGTTGACTCGCGTGCTCCCCTGTAATCTTCCTCGAGTACAGTGTTACACTTCAGAAACGCTTAAGTCCTTGAGATATTTCCAACACTCCCCTTCGTTTCTGGAGTGCTGGAGTGTTCAGATCCGGTGACGTTTGTTTGCCCGGTTAGGAGCATGCAGTAGTCGAATTTTGCTTTCGCCAATTTCTTCGTCAGATAATCTGCGGCCATTTCTGTCGTCGGGCAGTAACTGAGTTGAAGTCTCCCCTTCGCGATTTCATCCTTGACGAAGAAGTACCGCAGGGCGATGTGCTTGGTTCGGTTGGCGAAGCCGTCCTTGTTCGCGATTTTGATCGCAGATTGGTTGTCGCAGAGGAGTGAGAAGGCGGGCAGGGTCGCGATCTTCGCTTCTTCGAGTAACTCTCGTAGGTAGAGTCCTTCCTTGGTCGCAGTACAAAGGGCGATATACTCTGCTTCAGCCGAGGATAGTGCGATTAACTCCTGCTTGCTCGACTGCCAGGAGATAGTTCCGATAGGTTCTAGTCGGTAGATGTAGCCCGTCCTAGACCGTCGATTTTCGCTGTCTCCCGCGTGGTCGGCGTCGACGTATCCGAGTAGTTGTACGGACGGTGTTGTTGTCTTGCTGTAGGTGAGCCCGATCGTCGGCGTGGAGACGAAGTAGAGTAGCGCTCGATTGAGTTCTTCGAGATCTTCCTGTTGCGGCTGCTTCAGATGTGTCGCCAGCTGACTCGCACTATAGGATAGGTCGGGTCGGCAGGTTACTGCTGCGAATAGTAGGCAGCCGAGCTTCTGTTGATACTCCTGGATTTGTTTCGCGGGGAGTTTTGTGGAGGCGCTACTGTTGTTCCCGTAGCGGTAGGGAGTTGGGACCGCAGTCGGTGCTAGACCGAATTTCTTCGCGACGGTGCTTGAGTACTTTCCAGCGTGTAGGTAGAACGCCGTGTCGTCTTCGACGATGTTCAGTCCTAGGTACTGAGTAACTTCGTCGGACACCGTGAGAGTTAAATCTTCTTTCAGCTCCCCTTCGAACCAGGTGGCGATGTCGATAGTGGAGCCGATGTAGAGCAGGTCGTCGACGTAGACGATGAGCAGAACATAATCTCTTCCCTTCTGCAGTCGGTACATCCCTTGGTCATGCGGTAATTGTAGGAAGCCGATCTTTGCGAGACGGCCGTGGAGATGCTGCTGCCAGAGCCGCGGGGCTTGCTTGTTCCCGTATAGGGATTTTGTCAGTCGGCATATTTTCGTGGGATCGTTGATGAATCCGTGGGGTTGTTCGACGAAGATCTCAGCGTCCACAGGTGCGTATAGGAATGCATTCGCGACATCGATTTGGCGTAGTGGCAGTTTTTTCGTGGCCGCGACGGCGAGTAGGATGCGTAATGAGGTGTGACGGGAGACTGGAGCGAAGGTTTCTGTGTAGTCGGCTCCGTATCGTTGGTCGAAGCCTCGTACGACCCATCGAGCTTTGAATCGTTCGATGGAACCGTCTGAGTTGGTCTTGATGCGGTACACCCATTTCCCCGAGAGAACGTTTTTTCCGTTGATGCTCGTTGCAGGTACCAGTTTCCATGTTTCTCGGTCTTGCAGAGCTTTTAACTCCTTTTCCATTGCTTCCTTCCATCTTGCCTTATGTTCCCCCCCCAGAGCTTGCGACAACGTTGAAGGCTCTCGCGGAGAAGGCGGCGGCGGATTCTGGACGGAGACCCAGAGGCCTAGAATCTGGAGTCCCGTGGGCGTGTGTCGAGGGGAATTTTCATTCCCGGAATAAGCTGCTTCGTCACCGTCTTCGGGGTCAGGTAAGAAATTGGGGCCGATGCGTTCCGAAATATTCGTGTCGACGGGGTGAGGTGTAGCGTAACCTTGGTCGGCGAAGTGGTAAAAGGTGTCGAGGTTGTTGCTATCGAGGGGATTTTCTTCATCGAGTGGAACAGGTACGGAACAGAATGGGAGTGGTCCGGCAGCTTCCGAGGCTCCAGGTACGTCTTCTTCTGCTGCGTCAGCCTCGGCAGTATGGTCAGCGAAGGAGCGAAGGCCCGCGAAGCCGTCGGTGGGGTCTTGTGTGTTGGCAAGGTTGTCCAGGTAATGCTGCAGCGTCAGTCGTTCGTAGAAGATAACATCGCGTGATGCCACCGTGTTTTTGTCTTGTATGTCGAGAATTTTCCACGCGTGAAAATGTTTTGCGATGCCGATGTGTAGTCCCCATCGAGCTCTTTGTGAGAAGCGTCCTGCTCGGGCTGTGTGGGGTCTGTACTGTACCATGCAGCCGAAAACGCGGAGTAATTTTGTGCTGCCCCTTTTTCTTGTCCACAACAGGTGCGGTGATGCGTTGTTGGGAAGTGATGACGAGGACAGCAGGTTGTGCAGGTGAACAGCATGTGTCATCGCGTCTGGCCACAGTGCGTTGGGCAGCCTCATCCCCAGAAGCAGTTTTCGCATCGTCGTCTGCAAGGTCCGGTTCATGCGTTCTGCTACCCCCTGCTGCTGGTGAGCATAGGGCAGAGACACCAGGCGTCGGATTCCCCTTTCCGCGAGATAGGTCCTGAAGCGTTGTGACTGGTATTCCAGTGCACCGTCTGACTGGAAACTCTTGAGTTTGGTTCCTGACTCTCGTTCGGCGATTGGAAGCCATGTGGTGAAGGCCTCGAAGGCTTGATCGCGCGTTTTGAGATTGAAGTGCCAGACGTATCTGGTTGCGGCGTCGATGAACGTGATGACGTAGTTGAAGTGGGCTTCGGTGTCGTCTCGAGGCATGTTTAGAATATCGCTGTAGACTTTTTCCATCGGAGCGTAAGTGGGTGCGCTTGGATTGTGATGGGCTTGGAAAGGTTGATGAGGAAGATCTGCTTCGGGGCATGTGAAACACCGTGCGCGTGGTCGTCGGAGTTCCTGGCCGTTCGTCGTCAGAAGGGCGTTGCGTTCTAACACCTCTGCTTGGATTGTTTGAAGTATCGTGCTGTTTGCAGGATGTCCGAGACGTTGGTGCCAGATGTCGTCGGGAGCGCGGTGGCCGGGCGAGCGGTGGTAGATGTCGGCGTTGGAGAAGAACGCGACGACTGAGGCGGGACTTCGACAAGCTTCTCGTGTGGCGGGCATAAGTTGGTCTGCTTCCGTTGGCGGTCCTCGTGTTGATGGTGGTGGTACTCGGCTGGGTCCTGCTGCTGATACTGCAGGTGATGGTTTTGTTGGGACACTTGCGGGTACTTGTCTTTCTTGTCTGATAACTGCTAATGCTCGTGTTCTCTCTGCTGCAGGTATGGTGTTGGAGTGCCAGAAGCCGTCACTGTCGAAGTCGGGGTCAAGATCCGGCGGGTGAGTCCAGGCGGCGAACGATACGATGCCATCGCTGTCGGCAGTTCCGCGGTCGGGGACGAAGTCCAACACGAAGACACCGGACTTCAGGAGGGCACGACCGATGAAGAGGCCGCCCTTCCCGTGGTAAAGCCGGAACTCGTTGGAGTAAGAGTCGCACTCCAGGTGAATCCCCTTGGCCATTAGTTGGCTTACGCTTAGTAGGTTGTATCCCAGATTGTCGACAATGAGCACCTTGTTGAGTTGAAGTATGACATTCGTCTCCATTGATTGTAACTGAACCACGCCCTGTCTGTTTGTCTTCAGATTTTCGTTGTTGGCGACGGTGATGACGACGTCGCGGTTGAGTCGTTTCTCCTGTTGTACGAAGCGTCCCGAGGAGCACATGTGTTGACCGCAGCAGCTGTCCAAGAACCAGGTGTTTCGCCCGGTGGGTTCGGCGTTGGCGACCGCAGCGTATGTCGGGTTGACCTGAAGTCCTTGTGAGCGCGGCGGCGGGAATTCCTCTTCGTCTGGTGCGTAAGTGGGTGGTGATCTGGGTGCGCAGTTGTCGATGTGTACCATGCAGTTGATGATATTTGGTGTCCCTTGTGCAGATGTTGAAGAGCGCCTTGGGGAACTTGCTTGAGTGGAAGCAACTTGTGGGTCTGCTGCTCGGTAAACGCGAGGGCGGTTGCAGTTGACTTTGGAGTGTCCGGAAGTCTGGCAGTTGTGGCAGAACGGCGGCACGATGGTGAGTCCTCGGTTGTCGCGTTGATCTTGCTTGCTGCGTCGGTTGTAGTTTATGTCATTTCTTCTTTGAGTGTAGAAGACTAACTGCTGTTGCTTCCTTGGTTGTCTTTCCTCGAACAGATCCATCTCCTGTTGTTCAGCGTGAAGCTCGGCGCAGAGGTGCATCTCCGAGATCCTTCCGTGGGCGCGAAGAAGCGATCGTGTGGTTCTCCATTCTGGTCCGAGCCCGGCGAGGACAAGTGTGACGAAGCTTTCTTCAGTGATCGTTCCTCCGCACCGAAGCAGGCGGTCGCGCAGGGTCTGGCAGCGACTCATATACTGCATCGCCTTTTCCCCGGTCTTCATCTGTATTGTTGTCAGCTGTTGCATGAGTCTGCTTTGTGTCACGCTGTCGTTTGCTTGGTAGAGGCATTTGAGATGATGCCATGCGAGTTCCGCGGAGTTTCCATAACTCCGATACGTTCTGATGCTCTGCTGCTCTTGTGGTGACAGGTTCCGCAGGAGGACTGTATACGCCAGTAGCGACTGATACGTGAAGATCTCTTGTTCCTTTCCAGTGCCGTTGCTTGGGAATGGCAGGGACCCGTTGAAGTATCCCAGAAGATGCGCGGCCTCCATCAGCAGCTCGAACTCGAAGCTCCAGGTAAAGAAGTCGTGTCCGTTGAACGGTGAGGATGTTTGTAACTTGATGACGTGTGAGAATTGAGCTTGAAGACTGAGAATCTCGTTTGGTGTTTGTTGTGATGCAGCTGCTGTTGGTTGGGCGCGGGGCGGCATGAACTCGAACGTCCCCGGTGAAGAATGATAAGGCGCAAAGGTAGGTGCTTGGTTGTGTCGCCCGAAGGATGAGTTGTCGAGGCTCATCGGCGCTAATCCCATGTTTCCTCCATTGCTCTGTGTTGAATGCGCAGGTGTCCTTGTCTGCTGTTGCTGGTCGAAGTGTGACATGAAGCTGAAGAATCTCTCCATGAGATTCGGGTCCACACTTGAAGAGGGAGACGGAGTCACCATCTCTGGTACTCTTCCTGTTGTTTCTTGAGCAGTCCCGGTCTCTGTCTGCAATCCTGAGGTGTGCAGACCAGAGTTGCCGTGTTGAGTTTCTTGGCCGCTGGGTGAGCCCGTAGAGGCTTTCTTGCCCTTGCTGTCCATGTCTTGTAATCAATGAAGTCGTTGAATTGAGTTGAGTTGCAGTTTGTTGATGGAGCGTAGTTGCTGGGAGTTTGATCTCTGACCAGCTCTCATACCATGTTGGGCTGAGAAAAAGCCCTTAGGATCTTTTGCAGAGACTAAGTCCCAGCTTGTAGAGACTTGAGACTTGGAGTAGTGCAGCGGAAGTTGAGGCAGTTGAACCCTTGTACTAGTATGTGAGAACAAGTGATTGATTAAAGAAACAAGCATACAGCAATATATAGAAGATAAGAAAGCAGTTGTAGAATACAGTTACAGGAACGGTTTATCGAGTCGCACAGCGACTCGATTGCCGCTTCGGTTACCATCCGTGATGTTGTAACGGTCAGTCGCAACCTCCAGTTGCGACCTTTCGAGTCCTTTCGCATTCTTTGTCCGCCCCCTCGTGTAACCTCCGTTGACTCGCGTGCTCCCCTGTAATCTTCCTCGAGTACAGTGTTACACTTCAGAAACGCTTAAGTCCTTGAGATATTTCCAACAGACTGTATAGGGTCGCCTCTTAGAGAGTACAACACTTAGGTATATCTTATCAGAAAAATTGAATAATGGTAAAGTGAGAGTACACACAAATATATCTAAGTTTTGTATCCTCTAAGAGGTGACTCTATACAGTCTATACAAACATGACAAATACACATGTTTGACACACCCCCTAGACTGCATAGGGGAATACCCTAAACAAGCAGCTCAGGGCGGCACTACTAGTCCAACCTCTGAGACAAGAGTCTGAGCGACCGGTCAGAAGGAGTACAGACAAGGCAAGCACAAGAGCAGGGCGGCACTACTAGTCCAGCCACTGGGAGAGGACACAAGTCCAGTCTGAGTATACATATAAAGGACAGTACAAAGTCAAGGTCCTAGCAAGTGAGAGGCTACAGGAACTAGACCAAGCTGTACACAGTGCCGCTGATGATCTTTAGGCGCAAGCGCCTTCGTAAAGATATCAGCCGTGTTGGCACCTGAGGCCAAGTGTACTACGCGAGCCTGACGTCGCTGCTGTAGCTCACGCAGGAGGAAGTACCGCAGCTGAATGTGCTTCGCTCTGCCCTCGAGTCGAGGCTCCTGACACAGGAGGATCATGGCCCTGTTGTCAGCGAACAGGACCGGGGCCGAGCTAGGCCGCTCACCTAAGTCAGTGAGCAAGAAGGTCAGCCAGCGGAGCTCCTGTGCCGCCATGGCACCAGCGTAGATCTCAGCCTCACAGCTGGACTGCGCTACAGACGAGGAGCGGGTAGCTCTCCACGAGACGGCAGCTGAGCCAAGGCTGAAGTAGTAGCCCTGGGTAGACCTGAGCGTCTCAGCGTCGTCTGCCCACGAAGCGTCTGTGTGTCCAGTAAGGACCACTGGCCTGCGTCCTCCTAGCACTAACCCCATGCCCGATGTACTAGCAAGATAACGCAGAACCCTCTTAGCGGCAGACCAGTGCTGCGGTCGGTGTCTGCCTGTGGCCACAAAGCGAGCCAGGATGCTGAGAGGGTATGCGAGATCTGGGCGAGTGCAAGTCATCAGGTACATGAGGCAACCCACCAGCTCTGCGTAGGGGCCGCTGGGCTCTACCAACTCCTCAGGCACTGGAGCGGAGAGCCTGTGGTCTACAGGCAGAGGGGTGGGCTGTGCAGAGGAGAACTGAAGGCTGAACCTCTGAAGGACCTGGCGCACCAAGTGTGACTGAGTCAGGGTGATGGTGCGCGCAGCTCTGTCCCTGGAGATCTGCAAGCCAAGGTAACGGCGCAGTTCTCCAAGGTCAGTGCAGGTGTGTCTCTTCAGCAGCTCTGCCTTCACGGAGGCCAGCGCGTCCCTGTCTGCTGTGGCAAAGACCAGGTCGTCGACGTAAACGAGGATGTAGAACGGAGTCTGGCCAGCACGAACGAAGAGTGAAGGGTCTGCAGAAGACGGAAAGAACTGCAGGTCAGCAAGCGTAGCACGCAGAGTGTCGTGCCACTCACGGGGAGCCTGGCGCAGGCCGTAGACGGGGCGCCGCAGGAGCCACTGGGTCCCAGGAGGGAAGGTGCCAGTAAAGCCCGGAGGGTGGCGCAGGTAGACCTGCTCGTGTAGGCTGCCCTGAAGGAAGGCAGTGGAGAAGTCGAGGGAGTGAAGCTCGTAGTCACGCTGAGCAGCTAGGTGTAACAGAACCCGAAGAGTAGTCATCTTCGGGGTCGGAGCGAAAGTCTGGAAGAAGTCCACCCCTCGCGCTGACTGAAGCCTCTAGCCACATAGCGCGCCTTGAAGACAGGCGGCTCTCCAGGAGGGCGCTTCACCTTGAAGAGCCAGCGGCCATCGACTACGTTCACCCCAGGCGGGGGAACTGCGTCGACGAAGGTGCCGGTGGATCTCCAAGATGCCATCTCCTGCTCCATGGCAGCTATCCACTGCGAGGCCCAGGGTCCCGAAGTCGCCTCAGCGTAAGTGCGAGGGGTCGGGATGTCGAAAGCGTCTGGGTCACCCTCAGGGACTAGCAGCATGGAACAGAGATGGGGAGCAGCCTCGGAGAGGAAAGCAAGCTCGAACTGGCGGTCCTCCAGGACGTCACTGCCAAGGGCAGGAGCACCCCCGACAGACGGAGGACAGGCAGGGTCAGAGACCAGAGCGGTGGCGTAGTCAAGGCGGCGGGTAGAGGCGAAGTCAGCGACAGCAGCGACAAGAGCGTCAAGGCACGAGACTGGAACAGACGGGTCGGTAACGAGAGAGGCAAGGACCCGAGGAACAAGAGGACGAGCGGCACGAAGGTAGTCGAACAGCGGGGGGGGCGCAACAACAAGGGAGGACGGAGGAGGCGACGGCAGAAGGGGAGGACGAGACGCGTGTGAACGAAGCAACATAGGGTGGGAGCGCAGGACAGGAGAGGCAGGACGAGCACGGGAGGGACGGTGAGACCAGACGTGCGATGGAGGAGTCGGGTCAGGAGACAGGGGAGGGGACACAGGAGGGGAACGAGGGGGGAGACGGGCCGGGGACGAGTCCGGCGGAGGGAAAACAGGGCCGTAGACAGGAAAGAGGAGGAGACGGTCGGGGAGGAACCGACGCAGGTCGCGGGGGACGGAGGCACCGAGAAGGTGAGCAAGGCAGGGCGGACACCGGCGGGGACTGCTGCTGCGGCGGCACAACGGCGACACCTGGACCGCCAAGCTGCTCCTCGGCTACC